TTTTTAAAAACAGCAGACACAGGAGAATCTCTGAAAAATGAGTAGAATTTGCCCTTTTGGGAGGGAAATTTACATTTATGCAAATCTCCATTTGAAAGGGTTCTCCCTCTCCGCACAGGGAATTGAAGGATGACTAAATCACATGAAACTGTTGTCAGTGGAGAAGGCCTGAACTTAAATCTGCATAAGAATCATACCCTTGTTCACTGTGCTTTGCCTGATAAGCTCCCTTACTGGCTCCCCCCCAACCCCATTATCTTTCTTTTGGTTTTAGCTGAAGATGGCATTTAAGGAAATAACTTGGGTCATTTAAGGGAGTTACTCAGTTTTCCTGGGTATCTCCCATGTATACAATAGGTATACATGTTATCAAACTTCTATTTTTTTTTCGCCTATTAATCTGTCTTTTATTGGTGGGGGGTAAGGGGATCTCAAGCAAACCTAGAAGGGTAGAGGGAAAATTATTTTTCCTCCCATACACATGCAATGGAATTTACCGATAGAAAGAAATGAACCATCAACCCATGCAAAAACATGGATGAATCTTACATATGTCACCGTGCAACTCGGATTGGGACTTGAACCCACGAGGGAGTGGAAGTTACAGATAAGCAAGGGGAAAACCTTTGCCCTCATAATCCTGGATCTGGGCTTCCTGGGAGGACGGTGTGGGGAGTCGACTGGCTGGGGGAAACACACAAATCTTCACGCTTGGAAGACCCTGCAGACATAGGAACCTCACACCCCATCTTTCCACCCACACCTGCAGCACACACTCAGCCCTCCATAATCAGCCAGTTGCAGTTTTTAAGACATTCTTGGGACTTCTTTGGTGGAGCACTGGATGGGAGTCAACCTGCCAATGCAGGGGACGCAGGTTTGATCCCTGGTCTGGGAGGATCCCACGTGCCACGGAGCAACTAAGTCCGTGTGCCACAACTGCTGAGCCTGTGCCCTAGAGCCCGCAAGCCGCAACTACTGAAGCCCGCACACCCTAAAGCCCACATGCTGCAACTGCTGAGCCCACATGCCACAGCTACTGAAGCCCACATTCTCTAGGGCCCGTGTACTACAACTACTGAGCCTGAATGCTGCAACTACTGAAGCCCGCAGGCCTAGAGCCCGTGCTCCACAACAAGAGAAGCCACCGGAATGAGAAGCCCGCGCACCGCAACGAAGAGTAGCCCCCCGCTCACCGCAACTAGAGAAAGCCCACGCGCAGCAACGAAGACCCAATGCAGCCAAAATAAATGAATAATTTTAAAATCTTAAAAAAAAAAAAAATTCTCATCCCCAGGCAGATAAAGGAGTGTGAGGCTCTTGAATTACCCCAAAGCTGTCCCAGGGGGCTGGAGCCAAGGTGGGGATGCCTGGGCTTCTGACCAACAGGTGAGAAGAAGGAGGAAAGCCAGTCCCAAAGGCAGGGGTCCCCTTAAGTCTGTGAGCCCTGGTGCCCTGATGGGGTTCATTCCCAGTGGGGACATCGGCGGGGCTGCAGTGGTTCTGTGTTCCACCCAAGCCCCTTTGATGAAGCCACAGCAGTGCCAGGCTCAGGGGTCTCCTGGTGGTACCTCAAACTCTGACACAGCAGCTTGACAAAGGAACGAGAGAATGTGCTTCAGAACCTTCCGAAATGAGGGAGAGCAGAGTGAAATTGAAAGAGAAGAATCTGAGGAGCTTTTCCTATAAGGGCCCCTGTTGGGAGAGGCAGGGATGGAAAAGCAGGGAACTGGTGGACAGCAGCCCTCACCAAGCACCTCCCTCACACATGGGCAGTTTTGAAACACAGAGGACCTCATGCCCTCCTGGAGGAGAGCAGTCCCAAGACCCACATGCATCTCCTGGTTTGGGATGGGGATCAGGGTGGGGGACCCCTCACCCAGCATGTGTCTCTAGGTGACACTCTGGTCACCTGACACATCAAAGGCCACCTACGAGGGGACCCTCCCATGAAGACCTCTGAGAGGTGAGTCTGAGCAGGGTAAAGTGGGCTGGAAGGAGGGGGTGCAGGCCTTACCAGGGATGTCATCTCGAGGCCCCTCCAAGTGTCAAGGTCTCAGGGGGTTCCAGCTGCTGGACCTCATCCCTTCCCCTGGTCACACTGACCCCCACCCCCCGCTCCCCACCAACCATCTCCTCAGCCTCCACACTGGGATAAGCGGACATCCTAACCATGGGGGCATCTCTTCTAAGGAACACAGGCCTGCGGGTGCTCTGCCCCCTCTGTAGCCCCGAAGTGCCCCTAGAGCACACATGTTCTGGTGGACAGGTTGTCACCCTGAACAGGTGAGCATCTGCAGCCTGCAGGGGGATAAGCCAAGAAAATCATACCCAGTGGTGGAAATGATGAAGAGACACCCAGACCTTTGGAAGCAGCTCTCCTCCCCAACCCCATGAATCCTCCCCCTGGAACCCTGGACCCTAGAGCACCAGCCAGGGCTGGTGTGAAGCGCCGGGCTGACAGCTGCTCTTTGCTTGTAGTTGATCTTTCCTTTCTCAGATGTGACTTGGAGTCTTGGAAAGAAATGCTGATTCTGTGAGATTGGCTTTTTCAAGTGGTCTCCTTCCATCTGGTCCTGAAGCAGGAGGTTGGGGCCGAAGATGACTTGATGCTGCCAGGGATGGGCCAGAAGGGGGAGAAATCGGACCTGGGACAGTTTGCTGCTCTCCACCTCCCAGGGCTAATAGCCCCTCACTCACCTAGAACTGGAATTTCTAGTCAACCGTTTATGGCAGGAGGAGGTGGGGTAGGGAGAGGCCAGGGGGTCATTTCAGCACCATGGATGTCTGTGTCAGAGCCATATGCCCAGGTAGCTCTGCTCTGAGGGCTGGATCCCCTTGGACATTACATCTGGGCTCAGAGATTGTTAGTCTCCATTCCAGCTTCCATGCCAGTGGCCCATCTGGTTGTGCTGAGGCGTGTATGTACCATGGATGGAGGCCAGCCCTGGGGTTGACCGCCACCTGGCAGCAGCAGGAAATGTGGCATGAGCCACGGAGAGGAGTTTATAGGAAGGCCTCAGCTACAAGCCAAGTCACTGGGCTGTGAGTTGCTGCTCCATAAGTCGTGGCTTATTTTCTGGAAAACTTCCTTGCGGGGGTAGCCTTGTCAACTCAGATTTTCAAAAATGTCTAATTTGATTTGCTGTGAACTAATGTAATATGATAGAACCTAATTTGATCTTATTGACATTGATGAGGCTGAATTAGCTAATGTCAGGCCCATTTCCAAAGTGCACAAAGGTTGCCGAGGAGGGGGCCCCGTGAGGTCAGACATCGCTGCATTGGAGGCCTCGTCTTTACTGCAGTCCCTGAGACCTGGAGGCCTGGGGTGCAGCTCGCAAAGACCACTGATGCTCTTGTTCCTTGGACAGCAAGAAAGACACCAGCTTGAGTCATGACTGCAAAGCACCTGCTACAGAGCCTGGGAAATCCCTTGCCCACCGGGGCCATGGCATGCACATCTGCAAGATCAGGCATTGCACATGGGACCTAGTTCCCTGACCAGGGATTGAACCTGGGCCCTCTGCATTGGGAGTGTGGAGTCTTAACTGCTGGACCACCAGGGATGTCCCCAGAAAAGTACATTTTTAATAAATTCTGGTTTGGGTCTAAATGTTAAATTTAAACTTAAATAATGCTGCGAGTTTTAATACACCTACTTTTCAGCATGTCAATTTATTTTTTCAACTGTGTTAACACTGTAACAAAAAAGGACCATTATAACACTCTTGAGGGCAAGAATACAGGGGCATCTGGCCCTCAGGTGGACGCAGGACTGCCATCCCCATGGCCCAAGAGTTTCTCCTCTTTCTCTGCAGGGACTTCTCTCCGTAACGCCCTGAATCTTTAAGAACCACAGGGTGCCATGAGTAAGAGTGCCCAAAGCCTTCATGCAGGGATGCTTTTATGAAATAAGTCCTGCTGAAATACTCCAGGAGAAACAGAGATACACCATGTGGCAGAGTCCAAGAGACAAGCGTAGAAGACTAACATCCCTGGGAGGACACCACACATCCCCACTGCGAACTCAGGGCTGCCAACACGATCCCAGCTGTGTCCTCCGGGATGCAGCGCCCAACACGCCCCACTCACAGTTTAGCAGTGGCCAGTTCATCCCCTCCAACAGTCCTGGTGAATCTCTGAAATTCAGTGTTCTGATTATTCAATGCCGTAATTTAGAAATTCCAAGTGAAGTAGAGCCCACCAGTCCTGTGCCTTGATCAGAAAATATACAGGTAAGGAAAAGCAAAGTAGAAGGTCAACCAAAGTCAACTGATTTTCTATATCACAGTGCTATGGTTGGAATGTTTGTGTTCCCCCAAAATCCACAGGTGGGAATCCTAACATCCATGTGATCGTGGTAGGAGGGGCAGCCTTTGGGAGGTGATTAGGTCATGAGGGTGGAATACTCAGGAATGGGATTAGTGCCCTTGTAAAGGAGATCCTAGCCCCTTTCCTCCATGTGAGATACAAGGAGAAGTCTGCCACCAGAAAGCGAGCCCTCACCCTACCAGGCTGGCAGCTGATCTCAGACTTTCGGCCTCCAGAACTGGAAGACATAAATTGCTATTGCTTATGAGCCACCCCGTCTGTGGTAGTTTGTGATAGCAGCCCAGATGGACTAAGGCAATCAGCAATGATGTAGGGGACAAATTGGAATTCGAAATGAAAAAAAAAAAATTACAATAGCGCGCAGCAACAAAGAGTAGCCCCCGCTTGCCGCAACTAGAGAAAGCTCGCGTGCAGCAACAAAGACCCAACACAGCCAAAAATAATAAATAAATTAAATAAATAAATTTATTTTAAAAAAAAAACACTATGCTAGGAGAAAAAAATGAACACGAAAGGCCATGCATTATATGACTCCATTTATATGAAATATCCACAGTAGGTAAATCCAGAGACAGAAAGTGGACTCGTAGTGGCGAGAGGTCAGAGGGAGGGTGGGGAGGAGAGTGACCGCTTAAGGGGCAGGGGATTTCCCTTTGGAGGGTGAAAATGTTTTGGAACTAGATAGAGGTGATAGTTGCAAATATTACAGACGTACTAAATGTCACTGAATTGTACACTTTAAAATGGTTACTTTCGTACTATGTAAACTTCACCTCATCAAAAGCCAAAGAAAGAGAAAGCGTCCCGCAGCCTCCCCTGAGCAGGGTAAGTTTGCTCCCCTCACCCTGCCCTGGCCTGGCCTCCAAGGTCTTCCCCGGTCCAGCTACATTTTGGACCTTTGTGCTCCAGCCACACCGTGCACTCAGCTCCTCCACCAGCAGCTTCCTCATCGAGTCCCAGGCCACCTTCTCTGACTCCTTCCTAGATACCTGGGGATCAGCGACCCCTCACCAGGGCTCACGGGGTCTTTCAAACGTTGTGATCTCAGCGTGCAGTTTCCAAGGGTCGTCTCGTCGGATAAGTGGAAATTAGCATTTTCTAAGCCCCACGACATGCAGGCACCTGGCTCAGGTACTGCCAGGCCTGTGTCCTGAGGGGCGGGCGCAGCTCACCTACAACCACCGGTCTCTGAGTAGCTCCTCACTCAGGCGCCACCAGGACCGAGTGTGTTAGTCAAACGAACACTGTCCCCGTTGGGTGTGGAATCCCATGGGGGCCCAAGTCCACGTGAAGCCACAGGAGCCATGCAGCTGCTGTCATATACACAGGCTCCAGGAAGTGGAGTCACGCTGGTATTTTTACCCTTGGTTAGAGCGGATGGCGCCTGTGCCTCATTTCCATCTACACCCCTCCGCTCTCTGGATACTGAAGATACATGCGGGGTCCTCTTCATCCCTGCTGACCAGGATCTGGCTCTGCTGCGGCCCCCGCAAAACCTCAGGGCTCCACAGGCACACAGAGGGGACCTTTGCCTTCGGGGGCCTGGGGCTGCCATGTGCTCCTCTCTGCTCAGGCTGCAGGGGACCCTGGACCCCCAGAGAGGTGCCCCCTCTGGTTCAGCACCCAGGGAGACAAACCTCCATCTATCCCACATTCAGTACTTCAGCACCTCCAACGCCAGGACAGTCTTGGTCCAGCCCTCACTGGGTGGAGGATCCCAGCACCAGACCCAAGTCCCGCAGCCCGGCGGCGGGATAGGGTCTCCTGCCTGAGGCCCCAAGTAAGAGTGACGGGGCTGCCCTGGGAGGGACCACGGCGCCTTCAGGCCAGCAGAGAGGTGGACATGGCTGGCAGGGGCACTGCCCAGAAATTCATATGTTGAAGTCCTAACCCCCAGTACATGTGAACATGACCATATATGGAAATAGGGTCTTTACAGATAATCCAGCCAAAATAAAGTTATTCAGGTTGGCCCTAATCCACTATGATTACATTGGTATAAAAAGAGGGGCTTTGGACAGGAACACACAGAGGGAAAACACCTTGTGAGGACTGGAGCTGCGCTGTCCCAAGCCAGAAACTACCAGAGGTGCAGGGAACCCTGAATCAGATCCTCCCTGGTGCCTTCTAAGCCACCTAGTTTGTGGGACTTCGTTATGGCAGCCCTAAGGGACGGACACAGGCGCCCTCTGCTCTGTCCCCCTCTCTCCAGACCACGGGGGTGGGGGTAGAAGCAGGGCCCTTCAGAGGCCAAGACCACTGCTGGGTGGTTACTCTGGCCACAGCACTCAGCCCCGGGGGCCGACAAGGAGGGGCGGGGAGGCGGCCTCCCTGGAGTTGGTCGCTGAGCCTCCCCCTGCTATTCGTGGAGCCCAGAAAGCCCAGGAATAGCCAGACGCCACCCTTCCTATGTCATCTGGGCCCCTCTCCCAGCCAACAGCAGTTTGAAACAGCTGCTATGTCCCTTTTAATCTCAGTAGGGGAGAGACCTCAGGAAGGCACAGAAACAGGACACTAGGCCTGGTCACGGTGTCTCACCTGGGTCCACGGGGCCCAGGCTGGCCCTTTAAGGGACTGAGGGCAGAACTGGCTGTGGGCCCTGGGGTTAAGCCAGGAAGCGGGGAGGGAAGTGGTGGACGGGGGGCCAGGATGGCAGGATGCTGAGGGCAGAGCCCCCTCCCGACAGATGCAGAGGGAGGGGAGGAGGGGAGAGCCTCCTGCCTCCACCCGGACCGGACATGTGACCGCTGCATGGGTGGCCCTCCGCAGGTCCAGTGCCAGTCAAGTGTTGGCTCCAGGGACTTTGCTTCATGTTCCCCAGGATGGACGTGCTGCAGCACTGTGGGGACGGAGCCCACGGTCTGCCGAGAGCAGGAGAGCCTCATGCGGCCCATCCACCAGCGTCCTGCCTCTGACTGTGACCAACGCCTGCACAGTTACCTCCTGGCCGGGCATCCAGGCTCTGCTGGTCACAGAAAGGGCCACAGGCCAAGGCAGCATCGGGCTCAGAGCTCTGCGCGCTTCCTGTGAAGGTGGAGGGGCAGCCCCACCTGGAGCAGCCCAGGGCACAGTAGTCGCTGCTGTTGCCCTGGGACTGCGGGGGAGCCAGACTGGTAGGGCCTGCGGGGGGCCAGGCCTCCTGTGGCAGGTAGGCGGGCAGCGGCCCCCCCTCCTCCACACATCCTGTGGGCAGCGCATCTGCTGGGAGGCCGGTGCCAGTGCTCCCCTCCTCCTCCAGGCCCGCTAACGGCCCCACGTCCACCGGGTCATAGGTGAGCAAAGCGATGGCCTCCCGGACACGGGTCTCCCAGGCTCCTCGTGCGGGGCCTGTGCAGTCCGGGCTTGGCTCTGGACCAGCTCTGTGGGCCCCTATCCAGGTCTGGAACAGAGCACCGAGAGGAGGGAAGGCCTCAGGCAGTGTGTTCAGGACTCACTGTGGGAGCAGCCTCCCCTCCTCCAGGAAGCTCTCCAGAAATCCACTCCCAGAGACCAAGAGCACCTGTGCCCAGAACATTCTGTCTTCCCCCCAAGGGCCAGCCCAGCCTCAACACAGAACCCCCATTCCCTTCAGGACCCTCCCCTGGCTCCCAGCACAGGCCTGTGCTCACAGAGGCCTGAACCAGGGTACAGATGGTGACAGGGCTGAAGACACTGCTGCCTCACACACTGCCAGCAGCTGCAGAGCCCAGGCACCCTCACCCAAACCCCACTACACGCACGCATGCACGCACACACAGGAGGTGCTGTTGGGCCTGGCACCTTGGGGCCAAGGCCAGCAGACCTGGACCCTCTGTGGGGCCACAGGAGGCCCACTACCTCCAAAAGGAAGATGTTCCTGCATGTAAATCAATGACGTTAGAACACACCCTCACACCATACACAAAAATAAACTCAAAATGGCTTAAAGACTTCAGCATAAGACAGGACACCATAAAACTCCTAGAAAAGAGCACAGGCAAAACATTCTCTGACATAAATCATACCAGTGTTTTCACAGGTTGGTCTCCCAAGGCAACAGAAATAAAAACAAAATAAACAAATGGGACCTAATCAAACTTATAAGCTTTTGCACAGCAAAGGAAACCATAAACAAAACGAAAAGACAACCTACAGAATGGGAGAAAATATTTGCAAATGATGCGACTGACGAGGGCTTAATTTCCAAAATATACAAACAGTTCATACAACTCAATAACAAAAAGAAATCCAATCGAAAAATGGGCAGAAGACCTAAATAGGCATTTCTCCAAAGAAGAAATACAAATGGCCAAGAGGCACGTGAAAAGATCAGCATCACTAATTATTAGAGAAATGCAAATCAAAACTACAATGAGTGGGCTTCCCTGGTGGCGCAGTGGTTGAGAGTCCGCCTGCCGATGCAGGGGACACGGGTTCGTGCCCCGGTCCGGGAAGATCCCACATGCCGTGGAGCGGCTGGGCCCGTGAGCCATGGCCGCTGAGCCTGCGCGTCCGGAGCCTGTGCTCCGCAACGGGAGAGGCCACAACAGTGAGAGGCCTGCGTACCGCAAAAAAAAAAAAAAACAAACTACAATGAGCTACCACCTCACACCAGTCAGAATGGCCATCACTAAAAACTCTACAAATAACAAATGCTGGAGAGGGTGTGGAGAAAAGGGAACCATCCTTTACTGTTGGTGGGACTGTAAGTTGGTGCAGCCACTATGGAAAACAGTATGGATGTTTCTTAAAAAATTTAAAAATAGAGCTACCATATGACCCAGCAATCCCACTCCTGGGCATACATCCAGACAAAATTCTAATGCAAAAAGATACGTGCACCCCCATGTTCATAGCAGCACAATTCACAATAGCCAAGACATGGAAACAACCTAAATGTCCATCAACAGATGAATGGATAAAGAAGATGTGGTACATACATACAATGGAATACTACTCAGCCATAAAAAAGAATGAAATAATGCCATTTGCAGCAACATGGATGCAACTAGAGATTATCATACTAAGTGAGGTGAGTCAGAAAGAGAAAGACAAATACCATATGATATCACTTACATGTGGAATCTAAAATATGACACAAATGAACTTATCTACAAAACAGAAAGAGACCCACATACATAGATAACAGGCTTGTGGTTGTCAAGGGGGTGGGGGTGGGATGAACTGGGAGTTTGGGGTTAGTAGATGCAAACTAGTGTGTATAGGATGGATAAACAACAAGGTCCTACTGTATAGCACAGGGAACTATATTCAATATCCTATGATAAACCATAATGGAAAAGAATTTAAAAAAAAAAAAAAAGGAAGCTGTTTCCTAGGTGGGACCAGGAGTCTCCATCGAGTGCACCACACACCACACCTTCCATCATCGTCCTGCCCCCGGAGAGCCAGCCCGTGGCTCCAGACCACCTCCCAAAGGGCTAACTAAGCCCTGACAGGTGCTATGGTTCTACAGAGAAGGGGCTGGGTGCCTGCAGCCCAGAAGATGAGTGCAGGCATCAGAACATTTACTCCCCATGCAGCCCTGACAAAGCGTTCGGCTTTAAGCTTCAAATTATATTTTTGGATGACAAGCTTGAAAACTAGACTCCCTGTTAAGAGAGAAAAGAGCCAGGCGGAAGGCAGCCACGCAAAGCCGGTGTGGGAGGACCTGGGCAGCACCACCTCCATCCTCTGCCCAAAGTGAGGAGCCCGAGAGGGTGGGGACCAGAGACCACCCATTGGAGCTCCTCCTCCCCTCCTCCTGCCTGTGGAGCAGGAACTACCAGGCCAGCAGGGAGGGTCCAACGGGGCCTCCAGGCTGTTCTCAGCGTCACAGCCTGTGAGAGCCCACCAGGGCACCACGATGGGGGGGTGGTGTAGGGTCAACTCATCGCTACCCCAGGGGCCGGGAGGGGCCAGGCACTCCATGATGGCCACCAGAGTAGCCCAGGGACCAGGGAGGGCCCCAGGGGCAGCACAAGACACAGATGCCTTCAGGTGCACACAGCCCCCTGAGCTGGCACCTTAAACTGACCATTTACCTCCAAGGGCTGCTGCAAACCAGAAGAGGCAGAGATAATGTCATGAGAAACTTGACATTTTTTCCCATCAGCAATGGAATCAGAGACACGAGAAGAAAAAGAACTCGGCAATAGAGAATAAAGCTAATTTGTCTTTGGCCCCTTTGAGTCACAGTGCGTACGTATACTACCTATATACTATATATACCACTATATATAGCAAAAAAGCTCAAAGCACTGACAGAGGCGCCCAACCTCACCCAGAGCCCACATCCTGGGCGGTCCAGACATCTGGGCACCCCAGGCCCACCGGGTCACGAACCTGAAAGTCCCCGTTGTGCACACTGTACAGGGACTGGAAGAACGGGCCTGGGGACGGCACGTCCTGGTACAAGGCTGTCTTCATCCTGAGGTCAGGAGACAGTAGTCAGAGGCCCAACTCCAGGAGGTCACTGCCAGGAACGCGGCTCCTTCCAAGCAGCAGGGACCAGCCCTGCCCTGTCAGTGCTGCTGTCGCCCTCTCCTCTCGTTGGGTCCAGGCCTGACACCTGGCACCTGCGGCCCCCTCGCTAATGACCCCACAGAACTGATTTATACCAAGACAGGGGTCCCTTTAAGGTGAGTGGTGATGGCGGGTTCAGGGGTGGGGGTGACCAGCTGTGTCTTCAGCCGGAGGGGGAGACAGCACTTCCGGGAACCCCATCAGACTTCTCCCCGAGCACCAGATCTACCCGCCCAAGACCCACTGCTCCTCCCCTGAGAACGGCGCCCCAGACTCTGAACCAGCAAGTCCAGATCAACCTCGCCAGCCTCCCTGGGGGCCTGTCCCGATTCCCCACCCCAGGGTGGCATCAGGGGCCACGAGTCACATCGCATCCACCCAACGTCCTCTCACTTTCCCATCCTGAGACCCTGTCACTCCCTGCACTTTGCTCCAGCTCTGCCTCTCCCACCAGCTCACACACAATTGCCTCCCTTTGGACCCCACCCCTGGCCACCCCGCAGGTCCTCCTCCTCACTTGTACCACAAAACTCCATTCTCAAAACATAAACCAGATCCCATCCCACGTGACCAGGCTTCAGGCGCTCTCCTGGGACCCGAGGGCAAGCCTGAGCCCTCCCTGGTCTTCTTGGCCACCCATCGGGCCCTGCCCAGCAACCCGTCCCTCCCTCACCCTGGCTGCCTCTGTCCAACCTCCTCTCATCCTCTCTGCTACCCGTCCACGCCTGGCCGGTCTCCTGCGGGACGAGGCCCCATGTGTGATGGCTTGTTTCAGGAGGGCTTTTTTGTTCATCTGGTTGTCCGTGGCACCCATCAGGGCGGGAAACAGGGCCCCGTGAAAACCAGATGCCCAACACTGTCTGCATAAAACCACTGTGCAAATGAGCCAGTGCCAAGCACCTCCAGAGGCAGGAGACAAGGGCCTCAGGCGACTCGGCCCCAGGGACTTAGGGTCCCTCCAGAGCTCTTTTGGGCCACACTGCCCACCACCCACATGCACCTGGCAACTGGGGACATCCCCACTGGTCCGGGTCAGAGGCCTGAAAACCCCTCCCCACCCAGGAGCGTTGTAGGAGGGGGTGCGGGTTTGGGCCCTCAATGCACCGCCTACCCCACACCCACAAACGCACACACACGCTCATGCACATACAAATTCTCACACCCACATGTACAATAACACATTCACTTACATGCACACACTCCCACACACACTCCTTGGCTACAGACCTGGGTGATAGCTTGAACAGCAGGTAGGTCAGGCTGGTCAGCAGGAGAAAGATGGACACAGAGACCAGGGTGCTGTCGCGCTGCCCCAAAGCTGGGACCAGGAGACCTATAGCAGGAAGGGCCCAGGGCTGTGTTCCTCCAAACTCACCTGGCAAAAGCACCTGGATGGGCGCCTCAGGCCAAAATGGAAGGTTTATGTCGCGCCTCCGAGAGTACTCTGGGTGAATCACGCACCCCTGGGCCTTGCCTTTCCCATCCATAAGATCACCAGGGTCCGAGATCCTTTCCAGTACCTCTGTGCACAAGAGTCAGCCCAGCCCCCTAAGCAGACGAGGCCCTGCCCGGGCTCCAGAGACAGCAGCACCAGCCTGCTGTGCAGCTGGGGCCACACTCGCTCCAAGGAGACCGGGAGCTGCAGCTCCCTGGGAGGCCCAGCACTTGGCAGGTGTTTCCCCTTCACACAGACCTCCAGGGGAAGGCAGTCAACTGGGCCACGAGGGAGGGGGTCCCAGGAGGGGTAAGGGGTGGGACGCGAGAGGGCGGGGAGGCCCCACCCAGGCCCCTGAAGGCAGCAGCGCCCACCTTGTCTCTGGGGGGAGTGGAAGCGGGCGGGCTGGCTCCAGTCACTCCATGGGCCCTCATAGCGCTCCTCCTCCGCCACCGCGTCCTCTGGTGTGGCCATCTGGACACGCAGCCGGGCCTCATAGGTGGAACCAGGGTCCAATTCAGTGGCTTCAAGTTTCAGCCAGGTCACCCCAACGATGTGATCCTTGTGCCGAGCCCGCTGTGGGGTGAACAGTTAGGAGGTGCTGGGGGTGAGACTGGGCCCATCAGCCCTCGAGGACGTGTACACACACACGTGGGCACACTTACACGTGTCCACACACTTACATGCATCCACGTGCATGCACACTCATCCACATAGGCACGCCCTGTGAACGCTCACACGTACACACAGGCACACTCACCACACCTGCACTCACTTACCCTTGTCTCTGGTCACTTCCCTCCTCACAATTCCAAGGTGACACCACCCTAGATGGGATGAGGAGTGACCCTGGCTGCTGCTCCCAGGAGAGGCCCCCACGGTAGGCAGACCCAGCCTTACCTCCCAGGTCTCCTCCTGCCTCTTGAAGGCCAGCTCGTAGCTGAGAAGTGAGGCCAGCGGCTCCAAGGCAGGATTGATGCTCCAGGTCAGGACACAGTGGTCAGAAGTGATGTTGCTCAGCAAGTCTGAGGGAGGGTCCAGCTTCACTGAAACAGAATGAAGCTGTGTAACGGTGTGCGGGCCAGCATGCCCAGGACTGGGGATCGCAAAGATTCCCAGGAAGGACGGGGCACGTGGCCAAGGCCTTCTCAGAGCAGAGGCCTCACTGGAAAACTGGTCCAGAGAAGCCCCAGGTGGGACAAGACAGCAGTGACTTCCTCCAGCCTCTGCAGCCAGACAAGGTGAGTTTCAGATCTAAGCTGCTGCTGGAAGTTCTTCCTAGTGTCTTACTGAAGTCCTTCCTGCTGTGACTGAAGTAGATCGCAAGTGACTCAAATTGCAGCTCCTGCCCCAACTCAAAGCCTTGCACCTTCATCCTCCTCCAAAACCCTCCCCGTCCCCGGCGGCCCTGCCTGATGCTAGCCCTGAATCCGTCAGCAGGGACCGGGAGCACTGAATGGGCCGTGGGGGGTGATGTAGCCAGGATGCTCCCGGACAACGCACTGGCCCAGGCCTCACCATGTCTCCGGGGCAGGTACTGTGGATCCACCAGGCTGACCTGCTCCTTCCCAGAGACGTGACGGTGGAAGGTGATGGTGAAGTTGTCAGAAGGCACGAGCACCTCCTCGGGTGGCAGCTCCACTGTGCACACGCTGGCCCGGAAGACGCACCTGTGCTTGCTGCCTGGAGCGTGGTTGCTGGAAAGGGCACGTGTCGGCACCAAAGGGCCACTGCACCAGCCCGGCTCCCTACCCCCACCCCTGCCCTCTACCCCCTGCCCTCCGGCCTCACCTGGTGAAGAGCAGCCAGGGGCCGGCCCCCTGGCCCAGCTCTGGGGCAGACCAGTGGCAGTCAATCCTGAGGATGTTGTTGGTGTGGCACGTGAAAGTCCCAGGCCCTGGGAACAGTGACCCTTGCAAGCCCACAGTGGCTGCTTCAGGGCAGGGCTGGGGGAGGGGGAGGGCGTGGCAGCTGACCCCTCGGACAGGCAGGCCCCAGAGAACGAGCCCAGGAGAAGTTACCGCGGGCAAGGCTGGGAGACCCCGAGGGGATGGGCTCTGAGCGTGCAACCTGGGTGGGGCTGAAGCCCAGGCTGATCTCAGGAAGACAGGTCCCGCACAGCCCAAACCCAACCCTTCCCCGTGGAGCCTGACGGGGGCACCCCTGTCCCCAGCTCTGCCCCCACAGCACCCCCCACACACACAGTGCCAGTCCTTACCTCCTCTGTCCCCTGGGACAGAGACGCCCAAGCCGACCCAGGCGCAGATGCAGGTGCAGGTCAGGAGCCAGGTGCCCACCTCTTGCATCAGGACCTCGCTCTGCAATGTCCAACCTGGAAGAGGCTGGGCTGAGGGGCTGTGTGTGGAGTGCCCCAGTGGGTGCTCCCGTGAGGGGCACTCCGAGTGGGTCACCACCTACACCCTCACCCTGTCCCGTGAAGGAGGCTGAGCACCGCTGTCCAAGCAGCACCGGCAAGAACCTCCAGCTCAGGCCTCCCGGGGTCACTGGACTCTGACTCAGCCACGTGTCCAGGTCTGCCCAGCGGGCGCCTCCCTGGGCCCAGGTCCCCTCCCACAGGGGAGGCACGGTTGGGGGAATGGGGTCGCGGACAACAACCACAGGGAAGCTCTGCTGGACCCCCTGGTCCCACACCTGGGCCGACTGTGTGAGGCGCATCACCCACGCGAATTCCCTCCAGAGCCACGTGAGGTGGGGGACAGTCCCTGATCACTGACAAGGGAGCGGACCCCAGGGTCACACCGCTAGCTGCTCCCATCCTGGTGCTCTGCCCCAGGAAAGTGGAGGAGGATGGCAGCGGGGTGTCCATGCGACAGCCAACACCTCCCACATGCTGTCTGTCACACGCCTGTCCCCAGGTGCCCTGCAGAGGACAGCGCCCCCGGGAGCAGGGCTCTCAGTGCAGGGGTGTCAGCCCCAGGATCCCTGGAGACAGAGGCTGGGTGCCGGGAAGCGCCTGGGGGTGAACAGGCCGCTAACACCCTGTCACCCCATTTGCAGCTCCAGATGGTACACTGATAGCTCCTCTGCAGGAAGCAGGACCAGCCTGGTTATGCAAGCCTGATGAGTGATAAGGAAGCAGAAGAGAAGCAGACATGCACAGACCGCAGCACGGAAGCACTCCAGGAGCCCGCACACACTCACTCGGTAGCAGACACCCTCCCACCCCGCCCCCTGCAGCCTCTCTGTGGACCCACAGGATGGACCCCTGTCAAGGCCAACAGTCAAGAAGACCCCACCCTTCCCTAGACTGAAGCATCACCTGCTACAACCAGCCACAGCAGGAGAGGCTGCAGCGGCCACTGGATGGAGACAGGCAGCCTGGCAGCAGCTGGCTCTCAGGGCGCACGAGGACAGGATCAGAGGGAGCACCAGGATGGGGGCGGCTCAGGCACAGCCACCACTGCCTGCCTAAGAGCTGACCCAGGCCACGGTGGGGATGGCCACTGCCCCAGCGGTGGAGGGACACCTGCATCTGTGAGACTTGGACCGGCACGGCCACAGGCTGACTCAGGAGCGTGGACTGGGGCGCTCCAAGCTCAGCCGGCCCCAGGGGCAAGCGTGGGGAGGACAGGACCCACACGGGACACTCGTGCGAAGTAGCAGGCCAGGCCCACCCTGGGGAGAGGTGGGCAGGGCACACGGCAACTCGGCCATCTAGGGGGAGGGTCCCTGCTTTTCCTCTGCACAACGATTCTGTCCAAACATAGTGAGCCGAGCAGGGCCACCACCCTCCTATGGACGAGGAGGCTGAGGACCAGTGACACCAGACTTGCAGGATTGGGGGCACTGGTCACCTGGCTTGGGCACTTGCCCCACCAGCTCCCACGCAAGCCTGTGAGCTTCCCCCACCCCGGGGCATCAGTCTCTCTCCTCAGGGAGCCTCGACACTGAGGCAGGGCTGCCCCCATCCTTGGCAACAGACACCGGGCCAGGTGGGGCAGAAACCCCACCTGACTACTCCCTGGTCCTGGAAGAGGCACTGGGATGGCCCCAGGGAGGCCTAATCACAGCTCAGACAAGACCAGGTCACGGGACGGCTGTGATGGCAGGAGGATGGGACCCAGAATCTGGGCCCTTGGGCAGAGCCGCCCACTATACCTCCCATCCTGCTGGGAGCCTGGCTGACATGTCCACCCAGCACTGTCCCTTTCCATCAGGACCTTCAGCACACAACCACTCTGGCCCCTTCTCAGGACCCCATCTCCTCCCTGGCCTCTGGGTCAAGTTCTGGCCCAAATGACCACTGGTCCCCACAGCTTGCCTGCCCTGGTTTCCCGGCCCAACATGAAGGCATGGGCCGCCGTGCACTGGACCCCTGCCTCGGGGCCCACAGACGCTGCCAGCCCAGGGCCAGGTCTCCAGAAGGACTCAGCCCCCCGCTCCCCTGAGCGCTCACCTGCTGCCAGGCGAACTGCCCGGCCAGAGCAGGCCTCTGTCATGGGGCTGGTGCATCGCAGCACGCCCTCCGGACTGGCTTCATGGCAATTACCGCACCCACTTTCTGTCCCCTTTCACAGAGTCTGTATTTTTAATGGGGAGCGAGGGGTACCCTGTTACTCTCCCTGCCCACCCCAGAAGCTGGCAGACACAGAGGGGGGTGAAATGGAGGCTGCCGCTTATCCACCACTGTCCTCTCTGCTGGGGCAGGAGGAAGAAATCCAGGTCCTGGCTCCCCAGAAGCAGCTGGAACCTGGGGGAGGCGGGGACTAGCCAGGAAATGAGGCTGGAAATGGGAGCAGGCGGCTCCTGCTCTGGGCCCCACGTGCGCAGGTGGGCGACTCCAGCACCCTCGGACCTGATGCTGTGGGGCAGAAGTGCTGGAGGACTCTGCTTCCCATGGTGGTGCCAACCATGCTGGGGAAGGGCAGGGAGCAGAAGAGGTCAAGGCCAGCTGGGGAGAGCGCGGAGAAGGCGCAGAGGGCAGAAGAGGGAGGAGGCTCCACGGCGCACTTGCCACCTGCCTTCCTAGAGAGCTGAGCTGGACGGGCGCCCGCCTCAGTGGGGTGGATGTCCGGGAGATGTGGAAAGGCCAGGCTTGAGCCAGGGGCGGCCTCGGGTGGACAGGGGCACAGAGGGCGGAGCCCAGAGCAGAGGGAGGAGGAGGTCCAAAGATGGAAGTCGGAGGAGCACAGAGAGGACCTGAGGGCCCTCAGGACGAGCCCTCACTGTCCCCTCTGCCCGGCTGCCTTCTGCGTGATGAGCCTTCATGAAGCCCCCGAGTCCCCTGGCTGTCTCCCCAGCCAGAGCAGACACCCCTGAGCCAGGCCCAGCCTGCTTAGGACAGGGGCGGGGACAGGGCAGGTAGTGGCTATGGGCACGGGCTGGAAGGACACTGACACAGGCCTGGGGCTAAATGGGGGGAAACGATGCCCCTGCTCTTCCCGTGCTGCCCCTGCAGCCCTGGCAGCGAGGCTCAGCCGGCATCGCCCCTGCATCTGGCTCCTCCAGGGCAAGAACCTGTCTGATTTATGCTGCATCCCCTGCACCCAGCCCCTCACTGTTGAAGAAGCACATCCTGAACCTCCCCACAGGCCCGCCCTTGCCTGGGGTAGACAGTGTTAACGCCTTAGGTCCCCTGGGGGCTCTGAAACATTATTCAAGCAGAACACTCTACTCCCCTCCCTCGCTTAGCTGAGTAACCCTCCCAGAATCCCACCCTCACCCACTGCCTCGTCCACAGCTCCAAGGGGAGTCCACAGACTCGCAGCTCCTCTTCTGTCCTAAAGCCCCCCAAAGGTGCCGTGGAGAGAAGGGGCTTTACCAAACTCAGGACTGGGCCTCAGCTCCACTTGTGGTTGTCATGGCTGAGACCACCTGGCCCCAGAACTCCCGCTCACTTGTCCCCACAAAGGTCAGGACCTACAAACTGCCTGACAAGCTCAGAGCCCTTCTTTCTGCCCAGAGGCACCCATGACCCCTACAGGCCTGGGAATGGCAGCCCAGCATCCTGTGATCACCACTGCAATCCTGCTGTCTCTGGGAGATGCCCGAGGCCAGGACATCAAAGGCGGTAAGATGAGGGTGGCCGCCCAAACGCCCTCCGCCCTTCTCGTCCAAGTGTGGTCCCCAGGCTCTTCCTGGGGCCTGGGATGGCAGGCCACCAGCCTCTCTGTCCCACAAAGTTCACGCTGACCTGAGTGGTTGAGAAGCCCAGATTACAGACTCACCTTCCCAGACGCATCTGCTAGGTCCCATGGCAAGTCTGACTGGCCCCCAACCCTGCAGCCCTGGAGGTGACTTGTCGCCCTACCACCCCTGCATCTGCAGCAAGTCCCTCAGCCTGATTCAGGAGATAACTGCACCGCCCGGTGACGTAAGCCTCTCACGGCAGGCTGACATAGGCCACCCACAACTGAAACCACGAGCGCAGAGCCGAGCAGCTGTCCCAAGTGGGGATGACAGGCGACCATCACCCCAATCATAAATCCTACCTTTCACTCCTCAGGAACAGAAAAGTTGCTGAACGTGGACTTTGGTGACCCATCCACTGATTGGCGGATGACTGTCCACCATGTTCCTCTCAAGAAACACCAGTGAGATATATTAAATTAGCGCCGGGACGTGAGAACCCTGACCAGGCACAGAGCAGGTCTCCTTTCCTAGGCTTTCCGGGAGGTGCAGCTCAGGCGATCCGTGAGCACTGGGGTGGGTGGAGGGGGTGTTAAACATAAAAGTACTGCAGTCTCAGTTCAGGAAGGAAATAAAAAATGGGAGTCCCCTTTGACCTCGGAGAGGCAGCCCCTGTATGAAGTCAAGCACAAGCCCCTCCAGACCACGTCTAAGCCCCAACAAATGCACATTTAATGGCCTCGTTCCTCACTCTGAGCTTTGCGGCCTCCTTGCTGCTCTGGCTCTTTTCAAAATCTTTCTAGGGAACTACATAAAAACCTACCTCACGCCTTTACTGGTGGTGCAGGCCATGGTTAATAATCCTGCTGATGGACATTTGGATTGTTACCTACATATGCTATTTCAATTTAATTGTCATATATATAACTGACGTTATCATATTAGTTTCAGATATATATATGCTACATGCTATTCTAAATGAAGGTAGGGACTTCCCTGGTGGTGCACTGGTTAAGAATCCGCCTGTCAATGCAGGGGACATGGGTTCGAGCTGTGGTCTGGGAGGATCCCACATGCCACAAAGCAACTAAGCCCATGCTTGGCCCACAACTACTGAGCCTGTGCTCTACAGCCAGTGAGCCACAACTACTGAGCCTGGGTGCCTAGAGCCCATGCTCCGCAACAAGAGAAGTCACTGCAGTGAGAAGCCTGGGCACTGTAACGAGGAGTAGCCCCCGCGCACCGCAAGTAGAGAAAGCCTGCATGCTGCAACAAAGACCCAAGGCAGCCAAAAATAAATAAATAAACTTTTAAGAAATTAAATGAAGGTTGTGAACAATTCCAGGCCTGGATCTTTAATCACCAGGATGAGTACTATACAAAAAATGGCTAGGGGGCTTCCCTGGTGGCACAGTGGTTAAGAATCCACCTGTCAATGCAGGGGACACGGGTTTGAGCCCTGCTCTGGGAAGATCCCACATGCCGCGGAGCAACTAAGCCCAGGCACAACTACTGAGCCTGTGCTCTAGAGCCCGCGAGCCACAACTACTGAGCCCACGTGCCAAACTACTGAAGCCCGCGTGCCTGGTGCCTGTGCTCTGCAACAAAAGAAGCCACCACAATGAGAAGCCCGTGCACCGCAATGAAGAGTAGCCCCTGCTCGCCATAACTAGAGAAAGCCCGCGTGCAGCAACGAAGACCCAATGCAGCCAAAAATAAATAAATAGATAAATTTATTTTTTTTAAAAATGGCTAGGTGTGGAACTGTTGTGTCTAAGGTTGACCGTTGTAAAATACGGATAGATATTGCCAAGTGGCCCCCCGAAAATGTACCAACTTCTACTCCCACTAGATGTGTAAGAAAGCCTGTAGCCCTCACCAACTGTATACATTATCAGTCTTTTAAATCTTTGTCAATCTAAAAAAAAAAAATCTTTGTCAATCTGATAGGCAAAGACATTTCAATGTTGTCTTAATTTGCACTTGATTATCAGTGAAGATAAGCATCTTTTCATACACTTATTGGCTATGTGTTCTTTGGGGCACCAAATAAGGTCACATTTCAGTGTGTCCTTGTGCCTACGTTTAGGTGTGAGTGTGCATATCTGTATTCTGTGCATCAAAACAACTGAGGCACAGTCTAGAGACCCCAGAGCTGGTTTCCAGTTTCTCTGGAGTCTGAGAAACCAGGACCCATGGAGAGATGGAATCAAAGGCTCAAGTCCATGAAACACCTTAAGAATGACCAGGGGCATAATCATACTTCTTTCTAATATTTCAATTTCAATTAGCTTGGCCCCTATCTTACCTATTATAAGCACGTACTTTCATACTTACTGGTGCCATCCCTTCCCTAGTATCCCATCAAAAGAGCTTCCTTCTCTCTGTCAGGTTAGAACTTACTACCTTGAGACCAGCAGACCACACACCACCCACACCACAACCCCACAAGGAGACACCACCAAGGCTACAAAGGTGGGTTATCATGGACACTTAGATGTGGGAAGAAGGTCAGTGCCTCTGCCCAGAAGTGTTCTGACGGCACAACCTGACACCCCACCCCCTCCCATAACAAATGGAGATAAAAAGAAAAACATCCATAGATGGAGGGTAAAAGACCATACAACCAGAGTCGCCAAATACCTGCTGAAATCCAGCCCCTTGAAAGAAAGGAACAGCCAATAACAAACACCATTGGTCAGACATGTCCTAAGGATGTTATATGTGAAGCTACATAAATCCTCACAACCCTATGAGGTAGACCAGAGGTTAGCAAACTACAGCCCACAGGCCAAATCCACCCCATCCTTTAAAAAAAAAAACCTGTGAGCTGGGTTTCCCTGGTGGCTCAGTGGTTGAGAGTCCGCCCGCCGGTACAGGGGACATGGGTTCGTGCCCCAGTCTGGGAGGATCCCACATGCCGCGGGGCGGCTGGGCCCGTGAGCCATGGCCGCTGAGCCTGCGCATCCGGAGCCTGTGCTCCGCAGCGGGAGAGACCGCAACAGTGAGAGGCCCGTGTACCGCAAAAAAAAAACAAAAAAAAAACACCTGTGAGCTAAAAATAGTTTATACGGAGAATTCCCTGGCAATCCAGTGGTTAGGAATCTGTGGGCAGTCCAGTGGTTAAGGCTTTCACGGCCGTGGGCCCAGGTTCAATCCCTTGTGGGAGACTTCCCTGGCAGTCCAGTGGTTAAGGCTTTGCCTTCTAACGCAGGGGGTGCAGGTTCGATCCCTGGTCGGGGAGCTAAGATCCCACATGCCTTGCGGCCAAAAACCCAAAACATAAAACAGAAGCAATATTGTAACAAATTCAATAAAGACTTTAAAAATGGTCCACATCAAAAAAATCTTAAAAAAATGAAAAATAAATAAAGTCCCAATCTCTGGTCAGGGAAATGAGACCCTGCAAGCCGTGCCTCACAGAAATTAATTAATTAATTAAGATAGTTTATACATTTTTAAATAGTTGGGGGGAAAAAGCTTAAAGAATTATACGACATGTGGAATTACTATGAAATTCAGATGTCAGCATCCAGCTTCACTGGAAGACAGCCATACCACCCACTCGTGTTATCTGCAGCTGCTCTCATGTGCTGACAGCGAAGTACTGGTGACAGGGCTTCCAGCCCTTGCTCTGCCGGCTCACAACTCAGCAGTGACCTTAACAGCATTTCAAGGGCCACCATACGGTTGTATCCATTCTCTTTATTCTTTTTTTTTTTTTTTTTTTGCTTATTATGAGTGCACACCCAGCATGTCAAAATAAGAAAAGTGGGCACAGAATGTCATGTTGTTAAGGCACAGGGCAGTGCAGACTATCTTGTCAGCAAACTGGATAGCAGAGCAGTGTTTATCACGCAACGATACCACAATGGTCGACGTTGCCAGACCGAGCACTCGTCACTGGCACGAATCTCAACACAAAACAGAATTCCTGGACTTCCCTGGTGGCGCAGTGGTTAAGAATCCGCCTGCCAATGCAGGGGACACGGGTTCAAGCCCTGGTCCGGGAAGATCCCACGTGCCGCGAAGCAACTAAGCCCGTGCACCACAACTACTGAGCCTGCGCTCTAGAGTCCGCGAGCCACAGCTACTGAGCCGGCATGCCACAGCTACTGAAGCCCGCGCGACTAGAGCCCGTGCTCCACAACAAGAGAAGCCACTGCAATGAGAGGCCCGAGCACCGCAATGAAGAGTAGCCCCCGCTTGCTGCAACTAGAGAAAGCCCGCGCGCAGCAACGCAACACAGCCAAAAATAAATTAATTAATTAATTTAAAAAAAAAAGAGAGAGAGAAAGTGCTCACAGGCTGTGAGTCTGCACTGCACTATTCACCTACAAATATGCTGAGGAAAACATCTGCATCTCTCACCACACTGCATCTACTGAATCCATCAGCAATGTCAACAGTGAACTTCCTCTGCTCTCATGGCCTGAACCACTATGAGATACATGTTTGCAACGCTGATGACGAGGAACACTAACTCTGAACCTCAATTATGCAAAATGGTATCCATTCCTTTCATCAGTGGACTCGCATTACAAAATATTGTAGGATTATATTTTGAATTTCCTTATAAGACTTTGTTTTCCTAGATTTTGACTCTTGACCCACAAAACCCAAAATACTTACTATCTGGCTCTTTACAGGAAAAGTTGTAAACTCCTGAAATAGACTATTAGTATCTCCATTTTACACAGGAGGAAACGAACTTGACAGGCAGGCAGGCTGACTTCAGAGGGCACGACCTTCGCCACTGATCCACGCTGCCTCCAACAACAAAAACGAGAACAGGCATCTGAGGAAACGTAACTAACTAATGGCACAGAAAGAAGACACTGAAGATAACAGCCACAGGATAAAACCACATTTGCAAATCCAGCACAAACTGCTCTGAAACAGAAAAAATTGGACACAGTGAGCTCAGGACCTGGTCAACCATCACGTGACCCATACAGATTAACAGTTTCTTGGAAAGATAACAAGTTTCAAAAAAGTAAAAATCTGTATCAGAGGCATAAATTTAAGTCCCATTATTTCATAAGTGAGACTTCATTATGAAGAGAATAGATACAGGGAACTACATTCAATATCCTGTAATAAACCATAATGAAAAATAATGTGAAAAAGAATACATGTACACATAACTGAATCACTTTGCTGTACACCAGAAATTAACACAGCGTTGTAAGTCAACTATACTTCAATAAACTAAAAAAAGAGAGAGATCTGAAAAAGCAATTAAGTCTGAGCAAGAAACCAATCCATCAATAACCAAGATCCTGTCCCCTGCTAGCCCAGGGTGTCCTTTTTCTCTTTAGAGTAGAAAGATAGACACAGAAAGTATAGTGTAAAAAAAAATACTACCTATTAAGTTTATTGCAATCATAGGAAAAAAGAATATAAATCATAAAGAAATAGAAATCCATGTTACTCACAATTTTGTAACTAGTTTGGCCCTAAGTATAGTAGTCAGTTTTGGAATCCTGTTTTGGGGTTTGATGTCTACTTCTTCAGGCATTTAAAACACTGAGAAGGTGATATTAGAATTTTAACTTTAATTAAATTTTCAGAATAAATTTTGATTAAATAAGTTTGCAATTAACAGTTTAAATACTGAGGGACATCTAATGTACTAAACTACTAAGTTTTACTTTATTAGTCGTGCAAACAACGTAAATGTTTAAGAGTGTTGGCTGATGGTGAGAGAATGTCAACTGCCCAATAAATGTAAAAGATGCAGAACAGGACCTTAAAGTTATGGATACTCCTCTCCACACACACAGTCTCCTGGACATTAATGAGTTAATCCACTGACTGGGAGATGGGCTACGTTTCCTCAGCCCCTGGCCAGCCACCCTAAAAGGGTTAGCTTTCCGCCACACTCGCAGCTGGGAATCCACCCTGGGGAATACGGTAAGCAGACGCTGACACAGCTGGGCCAGCCTGGCCCTAGTCCCGCCAGCGATGTCCACACTGAGCATTGCAGCACTTGTAGAAGGTGGTCATGGGCTCGTCTGCAGAGCGGGTCTGAAGCTGCATGAAATAGGCACGAGGGTGTTCGCACTTGGGACACGGCTCTGGCAATGAGAAAAACAAACAAGTGACCCACGTTTACTTAAAAAAGTGATGCTTGTGACCAACACACTTGTTAGAAGTAGGTGTTACGTGAAAGACAGCTCATCTGGAATCCCTTGCCCAGGGTGCCCTGCACCAAGATTTAAGGTTACCAACAGCGTTATCATTCCCACTGCGCTCTCACACTGAGGGAATGAGACCTGTGATCTTGGAAACAGTTCTCCTTTCCCTGGGTCCCTTTTCTTCAACTCTGGCTGAAGACTGGCTAGAAACACCATGTGAAAGGTGACACGGCTGCCGTGTGCATTACAGGGTCCATGCCCTGCAAATTCCCCTAAAAAGTGCATCTCCACCACCTGGTAATGGACAGGCCCTCTCATCTTCCCAAAGGAAATCCCAACGCACGACCAATCCACTTCCCCTTGAATTTAGGGATCCATCTCGGCAGAAGTTGTCCAGGCTGTTCTTATCAAGATCTCAACATACATCCCACGCCTTTTCAAAGTGTCCCAAGGCACGTATTTACTTTCACTGAGATTTCAATTTGAGAACCTTGCTTTTGATGGAAATGCCTTCAAACACTCTCAAACACCATTTTGGTAAGTAATTCATCTCCTAATGACAAATTCTGCCAGTGCTGGATTTTTAACATAGCAGATCTGGATGTTCCCTGGGGGAAAAATACAGCAGTGATCATGCGCTAGCTCTTCCTCCTCTCAATACAGGTAATGTCTAGGGCTCTCCTTCCTTCTTTGGTCACATCTAATCTCTATCAGAAATGAATCAAAACTTGGAATAAGTATTTATTTTACTGAATGTTTAGTGCAGTTTAATACTCTGTATCATTAACTTTTAGAAATCTGTATTAGAACAAAATCCTTAAACTGTTTTTTTATTACTCCAATCACATCTGCTAAGTGCCTGCTATATGCCAAACGCTCATTGGTGCTCTTACAATCTATGACTATGGATTAGCCCAGACAAATCAAGGACACCCTGAGACTCTTAAGTCAGGTCTGAAGGACTCCAAAGCTTGTGCCAATATTGTTTGCCTAATAAATACATTATTAGAGAAGAAAACACTTTCTAGTTTTAGAAGCCCACTTCACACAAGTACATCACAGACTCTGCCGCAGAGTGGCACAGCCAGCAGCCTCATCCTTACCCACAGCTCTGGAACAGAAAAGGTTTTCCCTCTCACCTGCAGTAGAGTCAACATTCTCCCAGGCAGCTGCTCCACCGAGCACATCATCAACTTCTTTCAGCTTTGGATACTTCCGATTTGTTACCTAATAAACAACAGCAGGTCTTCAGACTCTACAAGTAAGTGAACGGTACAAACCTGGGTCACCAAACCATACCTGTCCTCAAGTGTCTCCCCAGCCTTCGCTTCCTTCCTTCAACACAAGACTGGAGGAATACTAAATGAAAGCAGAGTTCCTGCTGTCACAGAGCAGGATGCTCCGTCAGAATTTAGAGGATCCGCAATTGGGATGTCCCCAAAAGAAGTGAGAAGATCTCTGCAAGGATTGGATGAAGCAACAGAGCAGGAGGAAAAAAATGGCTTAGGTGTGACCCTCTTCTTTTCCCACACCTCTAAGATACTTGGTAATCCAAGATAAGAGAACCAAATACAACTGAAGCCAAAAAGGAGTCCAGCCACTCTCCCCAGGCAGAGAGTTTTCTGTTTTCCAAGTTTTACCAGACGTCCTTGAAATGTCACCTTTTGCATAGTTTCAGACTCTAAACTCCCACAACACAGCTATACGGTGGAATAGTATACAAACATTAAGAATGAGGTAGTACCAACGTGCTCTACTTCTAAAAATTAAAGGTGTTCTAAAAAGAAAAGATGCACTACCGAGGGAGAGTAATAAAGTGTGCATCACTCACGTAATGAACATCCAATACATTCCAGTTGTTCAGACTAGAACATAAGAGGGAACAAGACTGAAAAATCCCTGCCCTCCTACAGCTTATGCCCTAGTATTAATAAACAAAGCGCATAAGTAAATTGCAAGGCGTATTGGAAGGCAAATGAGTCTTACGGAAAAAATAAAATTAGGGGAAGGAGCATAAAATTTAGAAAGAGGCTGCAATTTTAAATAATCCTTTAAGCAAAGACACGAGCAACGACTGACATGGGTACCTAGGGGAGAAGAGCGACCCAGGCGGAAAAGTCGTGCACAGGCTACAGGAGTAGTGCCCGTGCCGGGCGGGAGCGCCTCGGAGAGGCTGGCGTTGCGGGCAGAGGGCCCGCTGGACGCGAAATCTGCGCAGAGGATGGGCGGGGAAGGTTAGGGTCGGCCTCCGCGCTGTGCGCGCCGCGCGGCCGGCCGGGGCCCACCTTGCGGGTGACGTTGTGCACATAGGGGCAGGTGTTGCAGGCGAAGCGGTGGCAGCGCTGCCCCTCCTCCACGATCAGCCCATTCCCGCAGCCCGGGCAGAAAAGCAGCATCGCGGCGACTAGCCCGGTTCTCCCGGCAGCTCTCGCGACCGTTCGGCGCCGGCGCGCCGACGCTCCGACGCTCCGAACTCCCATTGGTCCCGGCAGCCTCCCCGCCCCAACCAGCCCACCAATAGTCACGCCGACTTCGCGCTCCCAGGGAGCACTGCGGCGGGCCGACTCCCAGTAACTCACTTCTCATTGGTCCTCGAGGTAGCCCCGCCCCTCAACGCCCCGAGGGAGCGTCTGCGGCGGCGGTCCCCGCGCATGCGTGCCGCACCACGGTCGCGCGGCCGCTCCGCGGGAGGCTAGGCAGCCTGGAGGAGGCGGGGGCCGCGGCGCGGCGGGAGCCGCAGGAAGACGAGGAGGACGAGGAGGAGGCGCTGCCGCACTCCGAGGCGGTGGACGTGTTCCAGGAGGGTCTGGCCATGGTGGTGCAGGACCCGCTGCTCTGCGACCTTCCGATCCAGGTGCGCACGGGCCGGGGGCCGTCGGGGCGCGGACGGACCCCGGAGTGTCGATGGGGGCTGCGGCCAGAGGCCTTGGGATGGCGTCTCCGGGCGTAAACGAGGGTCTAGGCTCCGGCCCGGCCTGGGGGCGAGCGAGGCTCTGACCTCTGGCGCGGAATTTAAAGGGGCGCCAAAAACCCCCACTAGTTAACACACATGACTTTTCATCCGTGTTTTTAAAACGCAAAGTTGGTTTATAAAAGCCTACGGCAAACAAAATAATATTTTCAAATAAAAGATCACTGTTACCGGTTTTTCCTTTCTCCTCAATCTTCAGTGAGTTTTGGCACTCATGTTTTAAAGTCCTTGTTATTTTGCCCATCGTGGAATTTTTAAATTAACTTCTGTTGCGTTAACGGTTGTATTGACATGTTCATCTTTTACCGTTTTTTGGTGCCCCAGCCTTGCCTGAGGCCCTGGATCCTGATGATCGGGGGCTCTCAGGCCGGAAGGTGGGGCCCAGTGTTCCTCCTCCCACCCAGCACCTGGCCCGGAGGAGCCAGGGGCTGTTCCTCAAGGCGATTCATTCTCCTTGCCCATTTCTCCCGAGCGTCCATCCACTTCATAGAAAACGTGGATAAGACATGAGATTAAAGTGCTGAAAAACCGGGAAATCCTAACATATATGCAAGAACCTCCCAAAAATGTGGCACCACTTTTTGAAGACTGTCAGCTGTTTTTCTTTGTTGTTTGGGGTGGTGAAGAGAGCTCCCACCTCCAGCCTTGGTCTTTTCTAGGTTACTTTGGAAGAGGTCAATTCCCAAATAGCACTAGAATACGGCCAAGCAATGACAGTCCGAGTGTGCAAGATGGATGGAGAAGTTATGCGTAAGTGCTGCCCTCCCCCTCAGGCCGTGCAGTCTGAACCTTCACGGGAGAAGATGTTAGCAGGGCTGGTCAGTGGAAACTCAGGGCCGTGCCCAGGGTTGTTGGGGCAGCTACAAGCTCCCCCTGCCCAGCCTTGAGCCTCAGGAAGAAGCTTCTGGGTTCCTCTCCTGCCATCTGAGGCTGTGGCTGTGGATTCCCACCACGGATCTTCTCCCATCTGTGCAGCTGTGGTTGTAGTCCAGAACGCCACAGTCCTGGACCTGAAGAAGGCCATCCAGAGATACCTGCAGCTCAGGCAGGAGCGCGAAGGGGGCATTCAGCACATCAGCTGGTGAGTGCAGCCACAGCTCCTCCTTGCAGCCCTTCCTAGGAGCTGGACTTCACAGGACCTCTTGCTGGACATGAGCCTTTTCATCACCTGGGCTCTGCTCCAGAGTGTGGCCTGGAGCAACGAGCTCCCTGTCCCAAGCCTCGGCCAGGGCAGGTGCTTCTGTGCCACGAGCCCTGCCTCAGCTGTTCTTCACTGACATCACCCCACCCAGGCAGCTGGGTATCTTCACGTGAGGACACCTTAGGGCACTTGCGGTGTGCCTGGAGGTGGTTTCCCTGGTTACAGATGGTGCAGCTGCCAGCTCCTCGCCTGGGTGCTCTCAGCTCTGTCTCCTTCTGGATCAAGTGTCCGGTTAACTGTGTCTTGGTACAGCCACCCGTTTCATTAGCAACGTGGGTTTGGCCCCCAGCCACCCCATGCATCCCTTTGAGAGCAGTGCGTCCTTGAACCTGCCTCAGGCCTGGTACACACAAGGTACAGGGAAAGAGCCCAAGGAGGAGGCTGGTGGCCTCAGGCCCCGCAGAGCTGAGCGCCTTGAGCCCTCCTCAGGCACAGTTGCATCCCAGCTGCCCTGCTCACCCTGCTCGTGGTTGACTGAATTCCCATCTTGCAGGTCCTATGTGTGGAGGACGTACCACCTGACCTCTGCAGGAGAGAAGCTCGCAGAGGACCAGAGGAAGCTCCGAGAGTAAGTTCAGGCTATGCCTTGAGCTGCAGGAAAGTATCTGGTCTGTGGCCCTCTGATTCCCCATGCCCTGCCATTCGGCTGGGGTCCTCTCCAGAGGCTCGTAAGGGAAGGAGGGATCTTAAATCAGTTCCTGGGGAATGTGTGAGACCAGGAGAGTCCCTGTTTGGACTGAGGCCCTCCTGCAAGGAGCTCCCTGGAGGCCTCCCTGCCAGGACGGGACACAGAGAAGCAGTGGAAGGGGCCCTGCGGCTCCTCTCCAGCAGCGGTTCAGGGCTGCACAGAACCAGGAGGAGAGAATTAAGAGTGTGCATGGCCCTTGCCACCTGCTCACCTTCCCGGACACCATGCTCTTCCCACCTGGTCTCTGTTATCCCGCACAAGCCTCAGGTGAGGAGTCACAAACGTGCCCTTCTGTAGATTGGACGCTCTGTGCTTTTACTTCTCTTTCAGTTATGGCATCCGGAATCGGGATGAGGTGTCCTTCATCAAAAAGCTGAGACAAAAGTGAATCTCCAGACATGGAAAACCCTCTGTGCTGGTGGCCGAGCTTTTCCCCGAGAGGAGGAAGCCTTGGCCACTGTGCCATCTTCCCAGAAGAGTGTTGAGATAGCCTCACCCCAGCTGGACCCACCTGGACTCTCAGCGTGAACCCCGATCCCATGGCGGATCCCACAGGGCTGTGGGCCTGACCCTGTATACAGAATAAACCTATTTGCTTCTGAGTTTGGAAAGTCAAGCCACTGTACGGGGGCAGGCGGGACTGGCGCTGCCCCTCACAGTGAGGAGGCAAGGGCAGAGAACGTGCAGGCACGTCACATGGTCTGAATGCTGCACCTGAGCCCTTGGCCACCCCATTCCCCAAGCCATACACACCTGTCCCTGTAATCTCTGCAGCGAGGAGAAGGTGAAAGCTGAGCGGCTGGCTCTCTGTTTCTGCTTGTGGGGAAACAAAGGCCTGTGTCTGAGCCCAGCCATGGACAGGGCCTCCAGCTTCAGCCTAAGGGCTCACCTACAGCAGTGCCTTCACCAGCTCCTGGAAAGGGTGGTGGCTCGGGGCTGGAATTGGAGCTGCCAGCTGGGCAGGGAGGGCTGGGGTGGGGCACCTCTCAGTGTGGATGGGGAAGTGTGACTGCATTCATAGGTCCTTGTCCCTTTGTCGCCTACCAGTCCTTCTATAGAACGGGGACAGGGTGTGTGCACTTGGCTGAGGACTTCCCTGGGAGGCGTACGTGACACTGAGTTCCCTGTTCTGGGGACTTGCGAGTGGGAGGCCTGGGCACTGAAGGACCTCCCTCCACAGCCTCCAGCCAGAACCCGGAAAGGAGGAGGCAGCTCTGGTCAAGTTAGTGGCAGCTAAAACGCTCCCGGTCCATTTATTGGCCACATGAGGTGGTCGTCGAGAGGCTAGTTAGAAGGTAATCTCGGGAACTACTGTGATAAATGCCCGGAAGTACAAGGGGTTCAACAGCAGTGAACACGGCACAAGGGGTCTGTGCAAGGGGAGCAGGGCTCGCAGGCAGAGTCCCAAGCCTGAGGCCTGGCCCCGGCCCACAGGGCACACGGCCCCAGCACCCCACCAGCTCAGTGGAGCTGAGCGTCCAGCTCGTACTTCTCACAGAACTTGTCAGTGAAGGGGATGCAGGTGAGGAACTCGCACCACTCACAGCGCACAGGGTAGAAGTAGAAGAGGACCACCAGGCCGGCCAGGAGGCCCAGGAAGACCACCTGAAAGATGATGATCTGACAGCGCTTGCGGTACAGGTCAAACTTGCCAAAGCTGATGTAGGGCAAGAAGGCAAAGGAGAGGAAGAGGCCGCTGACGAAGCCCGAGATGTGGGCGAAGTTGTCGATCCAGGGCAGCAGCCCGAAGGTGAACAGGAAGAGCACCACAGCCAGCAGCTTGAAGAAGGCACGCCAGGGCCGCGCCAGGACCTGCCAGCTCTGGAAGAGCTCCACGAAGAGGCAGGCCAGGATGCCGAACTGCGAGCCGGCGGGGCCCACCTGGGGGCATGTGGGTGCCTGTGAGCCGGTGGGCCTGAGTGGGTCACCCCGTCCCGCCTCCCTCCGCCCAGAGTGTATCGGGACAGGAGCCAAGTGGAGCTGCTCCCAGGCGGGGCACTGTAGGAACTCGACTCTGTGGTGGAACCAGTTCATGCTGGGCAGCAGGTGCACGTAGGAGGGCCCCACCCTGGGGGCAGCCTTACCTCTGCCCGGTATGGCAGGAAAATGGCACTGGCCAGGTTACCAGTGATGCCACTCAGCAGGTAGATGATGGCTATGCGGTGCCAGCCTGCCAGCTTCTCCAGGTCCCGCAGGACAGTCATCTGGAAGCAGACAGACACCAGGCAGTGCAGGATCCTGTGGGGAGGGGGGGCATTCAGCGGGGAAGGCTCACCAGCTACTCCTGGGGTCCCTGGGACCACCCACTCCACCCAACCCCACTCAGCCCACATGGTGTCACTTGCCCAGCGTGCAAGAATAGGGACAGCCACAGGCGGTAGAACTGGTCGGGCACCTCGGGGTTGAGGAAGGGCAACAGCCCACACACGTCGTCCATGCAGTGCACCTGTGCAGAGTGGCCTGTCAGCACCCGCCGTGGCTGCGGGGACGGGGAGGGACCCTCACCCCGGAGGCCTACCTGAGAGCAGAGTGTGGCCTCCTCGTGGAAGTAGCCCCTCATGAAGTCACAATACTCCCGGGAGGTGATCTCACACCTGGAAGGTCAGGCCAGGGTTGGGAGGGCTTCCAGGCCCAGGTTTCAGCCCCACTTGCCCACCTTTGTTGGCCCTGGATAGGCCTAGCCCTTTCCTCACCCCATGCCCCTTGGTATCTTGAGTTATTTTGGGACTGGGGAGGGGAAGAGGGCACAGCCCCAGGGCAACACTTTGTGCCCAGGACCAGCTGCACATGCCCACACAGGCAGCCCTACCTGCCCTTGGTGCCAATGCAGCAGGGCCGGCCCGTGATGACACAGTCCATGTGCGGGTGGTTGGTGTAGTTCCCAGCGCTGTTTTTGGTGCAGATCTGTGTCACAAACGGGGGTGAGTTGGGTCAGGGTCTCCCCTAATCTTGGGCCCCACGCTATGCTTGGTTGGGGCAAAGATGGACAGGCTCCTAGGATGGGAAATAGGCTTCCTTTGACTTCAGGCAGGTACTACACCCTAAGCCTCAGTTTGACTATCTGTCAAATTGGAATAATGTCATTTGACCTCCCAAGGCTCCACATGGTTCTGCTCAGAGAGGTAGGCTGTGGTGGATGGACAGGCTGGCTAACAGCCAGGGCAAAGCATCTGGAAGCACAGGGTGGTCCCCCAACGGGGACCTCTGTGGCATCACTGATGGATGAGGTGTGGATTCCTCCCCCATACGATAAGGGTGACTCCCAAACAACCCCTCCACCCCGGCTCACCGGCCACTTGGTGATGTCATCTGGCCACTCATGGGGGTCCTCGGAGGAAGGCTCATCACACACCCTGCACGAGCCCAGGAAGTGGTCAGTCCTTGCTTTGTGCCCTTGGCTTAGCCCCCTCCTGCCCAACTGGACAACAAGGAGAGCCATTGTACCTCTCTCCACCCGCACTCCCAAGGGAGACGTGGACAAAGGAAAGTAAGGGAGGGGCCGGCAGGACTGACCTGGGGTCCTGGTGGCAGACAGAGCCAAAGTGCCTCTTGTGGCCAGCAAGGTCTGGGGCGCTGGGATGGAAGGGCCACTTCACCCACACTGCCAGCGTGGACTGTGGGAGGACACGGGCTCAGCCCTGGTCAGAGCCCACGTCCCGGTACAGCTCCCAGACGGGAGGAATCAGAAGCACTGATTCTGAGCTCCTCCCTCTGGCTCTACACCCCCACCGCTCTGAACTTAAACTCTGGAAATGGCTCGCGTGTTGGGAGATGGTTATAAGGAATTCAACAGCATAGTTCCTATTAGCTTAAAAATAGAAACCACCAGTGTCCAGAATCAGAGAACTGGTACAAACTACGGCACCTCCAAATAAGATGATAAAAACCTGGATAAAGTTTTTAAAATTCAGGGACTTCCCTGGTGGTCCAGTGGTAATGAATCTGCCTTCCAATGCAGGGGACACGGGTTCGATCCCTGGTCGGGGAACTGGGATCCCACATGCCGCGGGGCAACTGAGCCCTTGCGCCACAACTACTGAGCTCGTGCTCCTCAGTGAGAGCCCGCGTGCCACAAACTACAGAGCCCACGCATTCTGGAGCCCGCGCACCACAACTGGAGAAGAGAAAAAACCCACATGCCACAACTAGAGAGAAGCCCACTCGCCGCAACAAAGATCCCGCCTGCCGCAAATAAGACCCGATGCAGCCAAAAAAGTATTCAAAAAAAAATTTTTTTTTAATTTAGTGGGAAAAGGCAATACCATTTATAGAAACTTAAGACACGTGCACAAAAAACAAGATGGACACGTGTGGGAAGAGCACACCCAAATTAAGGACACATGCGTAATTCCCTGGCGGTCCAGTGGTTAGGACTTGGCGCTTTCAATGCCGGGCCTGGGTTCGATCCCTGGCCGGGGAACTAGGATCCCACAAGCCTTGCAGCGCGGTCATAAAAAAAAAAAAATTAAGGACACAGGGTCTACAGGGTGAGCGGCATGAGATGGAAGAGGTGCGGGAAAAAAGGAAAATGTGATGCAAGGGGCCTGGCACAGACGGACGGCATAATGTGCTGAGAACTAGGGGTTTAGGATAACCAGCTGGCTCTGAAGTCCCAAGGTAACCACAAACACAAGGTGCAGACAAGGGTGCGAGCTGAGCTGCGGGCAGGCACTCACCGAGCACTCCTCTTCTGAGGTCTGCACGCAGCCAGACCGGTCGTTGCGCACACAGCAGGCCGAATGCTTCTCACGCTCGCGCGCAGCGTGGATGAAACTATGCACCTGCGGATCCTGGCGCATGCAGGGCGAGAACTTGGCACCCAGGTGAATGAGAGCCTCCTGCAGGAAAAAGGATGTGCAGCTGCGGCCGGGCCCTCGACCAGCCCAGGGGCCCCGCCCCCCCCAGGCCCCACCCTCACCGAGCTGGGCCCGATCCAGAAGTTCTCCTGCTGAACGTACTTGACATTCTCATAGACCCCTCGGTTGCGCAGCACCTGGAAGTTTGGGGAGAAAGATCAGACGGAGCTCAGCCGAGCCCTCTCCTCCCAGAATGGGTGGGAGGGAGCCCAGAGCCCAGGGCTCGCCAGGGAAGGCGCTGAGGCTCACCGAGTCTACGGTCTCGTGCTGTGAGAAGCCTACGGGCGCCACGCCATAGATGCAAACGGCTAGAATGGTGACGAGCGAGTGCACGAAGGTGAGCCAGTAGGTGAAGAAGGGCCTGCGGGGCAAAGCGTCAGCAGAGGCGGCATCCCCAACCCGGAGCCTCCACGCCCACCTGGAGCCTTGCCTTCCCGAAGCCGCGTCCCCTCCACGCCTACCTGTGGTCGTCCATGTCCTCAATCTGGCGTTTGACATAGCTGTCGATTCGCTTGCGGTAAGTGCGATTTGTTAGCCGGCCCACCATGCCCAGCCCATACGGCCGCTTCTCCCTGGCGAAGAACTTGCGCACCGGCATCGCGATGCGCTGGCCCCGCCGCTGACCCGCGGCGCTCACCACCTCCTGCCGCAGCCGCACCTTGGGCTGCGGGGCCGCTGCACCGCCCTCCTTCTGCTTGCGCCAGCCACGTTCCAGGGGCCTGGGGGAAGGGGTGCCGTCACTCCCAGCCCCAGACCTCCCACCTGCCGCAGTCCATCCCCGGCGGGACATGGGCGACACTCCGTGTCTGTCTTGCTCCCAACTAGCGGTGAAGACACTGTGTGACAGGCTGATGTCAGCCCACACCTCACCAGTAAAAGCATGATCCCCAGCTGCTCCTGGCATGGCAGGGAGGTGGGTTCGGACCTACATGAGGGTCCCTGGCTAATCTGCGAGTGTTAACTACGTCACCTCCTCCTTCCCCCGAGATTCTCTCCAGCCTGTGGGCTCTGGGACTGAGATCCTCTTCCAGGTGTGGGCAGTCCAGACTCGAATGGTGCCCACCCCTGGGTCTCCCAAACACAGTTGCCAAGCTGGGCTCCCAGTCCACAAGATGACCTCCTCCCAGGGCCCTCTAGGGTCGTGCCTTTGGGGCCAGCTGCTCCTGAGAGCCGCAGGACCTGCCCCCCGGCCCCCTCGGAGCCCGCCAGGAAGCACTCACAACATCAGGTGGCTGCGCTCCAGCTCGCTGCGGTCCAGGGCTCCACCCGTGAGGTCCGCCTGCTCTGGGGCTCTCTCCCAGTCCTTAAGCGCTGCCTCCGATGGGGACTCGAACACCTCATCTGGGTATGTGGACAGCTCCTCGTGGAGGACACCTTCCTGAGCAAACACGCGTGGTCAGTGTGGGAAGCATAGGCACAGGGGTCATGGGTGATGGTGCCAGGCTCTTACCCGGGCAAAGAAGGATGTGTCCAGCTCGTCGGGGAAGTCAGCCGTGTCCTCCTCCAGGAAGCTGGCAGGAGTGAAGCTTCGGCGCTGGACCCGGCGCAGTGTGCCATCCCTAACCGAGCGGCCCTGCCAGCGAGGGGGTGAGGACGCAGCGTGGTACTGGCTCAGCCCCCGCCCCCACCCCGGCCCCTGCACCCACCTTCACCAGCGCAGCGGCTGCCCGGAAGCTCATCTTGGCCACCGACTCGCGCTTGCGCCGCCGCGGGAGCCGGTTGAAACCCGAACGGGAGCTGGAGAAGGAGCAGAGGGAGGCGGCACCCGGCGTGACCGGCGTGTGCGGGGCACTCAGGCCATCGGCGGCATCATCCGCCAAGCGGAAGGCCCGGCCCCGGGCCAGGGGGTCTATGATCTGGAGGAGGGGAGGAGATGCAGGAGTCGGGGGCTGGGTCATAGCCAAGGGGGCTCCTCCCCCACCCGGCCCCGCCATGGAGAACACAGCTGCTGCTCGTCCCGCTCCCCAGAGGCTCCCTGGACAGCTGAGTGGGTACCACCCCACCCCACTGCACCAGAGGGGTCCCGTTCTCCGCCTGTATTTCCTTTACGCTGCTGTTCATCCTGGGATGCTCTCCCACCCAGAGGCTGGCCTGTGGTACAATCCCAGGACTTGTCCTCTCCCCCAAGCACCGCTTCCCAGAGAGTATCTTAGGTGCCTTTACGGGACCATCCGACCACCCGCCCAGACCGTGAGCTCCAAGCAACCTCTGTGCTTAGACTGGCTGTGTCCCCAGCCCCAGCTCAGGGCAGCAGAGTGAGGGAACTGAGGCAGGCAGCAGCGGGAGGGCATACCTTCTGCATGCCCAGCTGGCATGGCCCCACGTACAGAGGAGGGGGCGTCTCAGTGCTGGTCAGCGACACGTTGTCCTGGCTGGGCAGGTCTAGCTCCCGGATGACCTGGGGCTTCAGCTTCCCGTAGCGCTGGCTGCAGTGACGGATGCTCTTGCGCTGCCACTTCTGGGTGCTGTCACTGTCCTTGCTCACTCCAAACCAGTCAGCAGTGCCCCTGCCAGGGGAGGGACTCAGCAAGGGGAGGCCAGCTGTCCCCTCTCCCCAGCAGGGGCCTCAGAGGCACTCCACCTGGGCAGCATGCCCGCCCCAAGCCTCCGGACATTCCAGGGTCTGGGGTCCAGGTGGGCTGGGTCTGATTAAGAGGATAGGTGGGTTTCGGACCTGGCCACCCGCTAAACAATTAGCCAGCTCCAAGCTGCCACCAGCACCAGAGATGGCAGGCCTTGGTGAAATAGGTATTTCACACAGGCCCTCACTCCATCCCTGAGACGGGCATTTGTGGGGAGACACTGAGTCTGGAGACAGAGGTCAGAGTTCAGCCCTTAGCTCAGCCAGAGAAAGCGTGGCCCTGGGCAGCAGCTTGACCTTGGACACCACAGAAGTCAGGCAGGGGGCGCCGCACACCCAGGCAGGCTGCCCATAGTCCTTGGACATGCAAGCAAAAACACTGCCAGCACCTGCCGTCAGGAGCCCCCGGGGAACACCAACCACGCTGGCAGCTCCCGAGAGGTCACAAGCCATGCACACGCCAGCTGACGCCAACACACTCATGCCCTGCCCAAGGTACCTGAGCAGGGACCAAGAGAGAGACGAGCGCTGTGTGAGGGCCCTGCGGGCAGCAGGGGCACCCAACAGGGGCAGAGTGTGGACACGCCCAAAGCGCACCTGTCGGCTGTTCAGGGGGGACCAGAGCATTGGGTGGGGGGGGCGGGTGAGAGAGAGAGGAGAGAGCAAGTTCTGGGGGGAGCAAAGAAAGGCAGTAGGTGACAGCAGTCAGTCCCCAGAGCAGGAGGAGGACAGGGTGATGAGGGGACGGGATGGAGGAGAAAGCCCTTGCCCCACTTCCAGCCCCAGTGCCCGAAGGGGACCCTGTATGCCTGCTTCTGTCCCACCGGCCCAGCCCCCAACCCGCCGCGGAGCAGCCGGGACAGCGAAGTACCTGCGGATGGTCTGTGTGATGGACATCTGGCGCTGCAGCGCCGGCCGCCGGGGCTCCTGGTGGGGTGAGGGGACGCGGGTGGGCTCGGCCGGCATGCTCACACTCCGCAGGAACGCCTGGCGTCTCAGGGGCTGGGCAACGGGGACCCAGTGAGGCGGCTGGATGGGCTGCACCTGCAGCCCCCGCTGGCCAGGGCCTACCTGCAGGAAGCTGGACTCCTCTGCTGCCGGGGGCACCACGGCCGGGATATCCAGCTTCAGCCACGGCGGCTTCTTGCGCTGCAGGCTGCTGGTGCTGTCCCTGCGGGCCTCACCCATGGTTCCAGGCAGAGCTAGGGGGGCCTAGGGGACGTGGTGTGTTATTCAATAACAGCACTGACACGCACTTCCCTGGCATCCCAGTGGTTAGGACTCCACACTTTCACTGCCGGGGGCCCGGGTTCAATCCCTGGTCGGGGAACTAAGATGCTGCAAGCTGCATGGTGCAGCCAAAAAACAGCACTGGCAGATCTCTGAGGGTCCACGGGGCCCAGACACAGGAGGAGGGAGAAGCAGGGACAGCCCAACAGGCGTGGGCACGGCTCCGCTGCCAGAGTCCCAGCATGGGCTCAGCACCCACGCGCTTGGTTCCTGCCTCTGTCGTCCCGAAAGACATGGCTAGGCACACACTAGGTCTTCAAACAACATGCATTCATGTGATGAATAGCTGAGGACCTACTATGAGCCACTCCTAGGTGCTTGGGACATGTTGGTGGAGAAGCAGGGAAACCGAAACAGACAAAATCCCTGCGCTCCTCAAGCTTAGAGTCCAGACAAACAATAAGCTCACATGTAGATACACTGTGCTAAAGGCTGCAACGTGTGACAGGGATAAAACAGCACATTAGGACTTTCCTGGTGGCTCAGTGGTTAAGAATCCGCCTGCCAATGCAGGGGACATGGGTTCGATCCCTGGTCCAGGAAGATCCCACATGCCACAGAGCAACTAAGCCCATGCACCACAACTACTGAGCCTGCGTGCCACAACTACGGAAGCCCGCACACCTAGAGCCCATGCTCCGCAATGAGAGAAGCCACCGCAATGAGAGGCCCGCGCACAACGAAGAGTAGCCCCTACTCTCTGCAACCAGAGACAGCCCGCGTGCAGCAATGAAGACCCAACGCAGCCAAAAATAAGTAAAATTTTTTTAAAAGTTAATTAAAAGATAAAGCAAAAACCAGCACATTACAGTCGTCAGAGGAGCGATGCCTCTCTGTGCAGTGACGTCTGAGCAAAGGCTTTCGAGTTGATCTAGTGAGCAAGGTTAGGTGGCAGGGTGTTCCCCACACTGGGAATGGCCAGTGCAGAGGTATGAATAAGCACGAGGGCAGAGGCAAGCCTAGGGGCTGGCCCGGTCTGTACACGGGGCAAATCTCAAGCCTATTGGACACAGACCTCAGCTTCTTAACCACCATGACAGCTGCTCCAGAGACAGAGGGCTCACTATGCCCATGACAGGGTGCATGGTCCCTCCATCTCTCAGAGGAGGGACCACCTGGCTTCCCAGGGGCCAAGGGCTCCTATAGCCAAGGGACCTCCTGGAAACTACCTGGTGAAAAGGCCGCTGTGACCACAAGGGGGCGCCACAGGCCCAGAAACAGCAGCAAAGCCCCACAGTGCTCCGAGACGCCTTGCTCTATGCCACCTTAAGCATCTGAGACCCCTGTCCCACATTACCTGGGCACAGGGGGAGGGCCCAGGACCCAGAGCAGAGAGGCCAGGGCTTGATTTGGGCCACCCCAGCCTGGCCACGTGACCGGGAGGCAGTGGCCACATAAGCATGGCTCCTTGGCACTTAATTCTTCCTTTACGAAATGGCAGTTTCAGGGCGTATCTGCTTCCCTGGCCCCAGAGAAGGATCACAGGGCCTGGAAACAGGATATCCAAGACTAGAAGGGTTCCTAGAACTACGGGGGCAAGGATAGCAGGGGCGTGGTGGAGACTCCAAAATTCCGCAGCCTCTCAGAGCTCCAGACCCTGAAGATTCCGACCTGCGGGGTCTGTGACCCATCCACTGAGGCCGCTAGAAACAGCTTCTACTTCGGAGCCTCCCTCTCAACTGCCTGGAGAGATACAGAGAAAATACTTTACAAACAGGGAAACTGAGGCCTAGAAAGAGAGGCCTGTCTTGCCCAAGGCCACATATTCAGGCGGCACAACTAAGGACACAGTTGCTACTGGCCCTTTACAGATCAGGGAAGGTCCAGGGGTCCAGAACCCTGCTCAGAGCTACCACCACCCCCAGCTCTCTATGGACCTGGGAACGGCCAAGGATGTTGCTCATCCCGCCCCCCCCCCCCCCCCCCCCCCCCCCCCCGACACAGACGCGGGATGGCACAGAACACTGCTGTGCTGCTCACGAAACACGGAGAGCCCAGGATGCTGCTCCCAGCTCCTAGCGGCCCTCTGCCACCCAGGGGTAGGCCCAGGACAACACTCACAGCTTCTATTGGCCCTATGACAATCGGGGACCGGCCCGGGACCCAGCACACAGGTCCTACTGGCCCTATATTGACTGGAGACCAGGCCAGGATGCAGCTGGCAGCGCCTACTGGCCCTGTACCAAATGGGGCTGAGCCTGAACACTAATCACGGTTCCCACTGGCCCTACCCCAACCAGGAACAGGCCTGGAGGGAGGCAGTCCGGGGATGCCTTCTGACTCTTGGCCCATCCCTCATGTTCCAGGAGTCTTTCCATCACAACATAGCTCCCAGGGCCAAGCCTCTCTCCCCTGCCCTCACCTGCTCTGGTCTCAGGAAAAGGGCTGAGGGCAGCATTTGTTCCCACATCCCTGGGAATCCCTTCCTGGCCCCGCCTACACTGAGCCCCACAAGCTGCGGTCAGATGGAGGGTCCCTGGAGGGGATGGAGGCAGCGTCTGACATGAGGGCATCCTGACTGAGAACTGGGTCCCTCTGGGACCAGCACTCGGCATCCAACGCGCACCACAACCCAGCCCAGCCCTGCACGGCTGTGGCTGACCAGGCCACAGGTCAGCATCCTGGGAGGGCAGCGTCTTCCTTGTCATCCGCCAGCCCTCCCTTCACAGACCAAGGTGATTGTAAGCTCTCCCTGCTGGTAAGGAAATGACTGGGCAGGACAGCTCCAGGTCTCAAGCACTAATGGTGGAACCTCAGACAGTGTTAGGCTTATCGAGAAAGCAGAAGGTGCTGAGAGGCACGTCCAGAACCTGCAGGGCTGGGACAGCACCCTGGGTGCACCCTCTGAGCCACGGCGGGCCGGGCCTGCCAGGTGGAGATCCGGGCGATCGGACTCCTCAGATGGTGCTGTGCCCATGCGGCCTTGTCGGGAAGGGGCCAGACAGGATGGGGACCCCCTTAGCATTTCAGATGGGGGAGGCTATGGTACCTTAAGTCTGCCCCTGCCACCCGACCACCCCATGCCTCACAGAGTTTCATACGCTCCTGGTAAAGCTATTGTGAGGTCTAGAGAGGCCAAGTGTGGACCTGGGATCACTGCTGGTACCCAGCAGGCTGGGTGCCAGGGACGAGCCCTTACAGGAGCGTGCGCACGCCCAGCACCTCCAGGTGACAGAAGGTGGTTCTCCACTCAGGAGTGCCAGGAACCGTTGCCAGCTGACTGGCTCAGCGCCACACACACACTTGCGACCCTCCCTGGCTCCCACTGTGCTCCCACAGCCTCTCCTCACACCTGGCTCTCCCAGTACACGCATTCTGCCCACGTGTTCAAGGATCCCCCGCCTCAGTCAGGCGGCCCCTCCCTGACAGGCCCTGGATTCCCTTGGCACGGTCGGGAGCACACCCACGTGTGTGCGGTCCGGTCCTGTCATGCCGGGTCCACAGTGCCTAGGACAGGGCTGCTCCAGAGCCACTGCTGAATGATCACTGTCATTCCAGAGCACGAGCTAGCAGGGGCCAGTCCCCATGAAGTGGGGTGATGGCAAATTCCCAAAGATGCCCCTTCACTTGGCTCTGGGAGGAGGAGCTACCACATGACCAGTGGGAACAGAAACAGCACAAGCAAGGAGGTGGGAAGCGGGTGGTGAGCACACACAGGAGCCAGATGCCCCCCCGACCCCCGCTGGCCTGGGCCCACCAGACACAGGAGCCGCTCACCTCACGAGGGAGGCACCAGCTCCCTGCCTGGACATACAGACCTCCTGGTGGCCCTCACCCCACCAGATCCCTCCTGTGTCTGGGGCAGAGGCTGGAGGGTGCCCCATAACCCCCACAGCTCCCTGCCCTCAGTGCTATGGGTTCCCGGCCTGACCCACCCCTGTGTGCCCAATCCCCCAGCGCCCCTGCGGCAAGCTGGGCATCAAGTGGGTGGGATTCACAAGCAGGGTCGGGGGTGGCTCCACAGTGGACCCTGAGGGTGTGGGGGAAGGTCGGGTCCAGACCGGACAAAGAGTCTGGGCTGGGAAGGGGCACAGCGCCCCCCCAGAGGAGACAGTGGCTCAGTGTCTGGGTCTCCGCCAGGCGCACAGTGGGCTCTTGTTCCTAGACGGTCCCTGAGGGGGAATCCCAACAGCATCTCTGCTCTGCTGCCCCTCAGTGCAGGGAGAGACCACAGCCCTGGGAGGGCCTGCGTGCCGTCTGAGTCACTCTGGTGACATTCGTGGCTGCCCACCCAGGGCCCAGACCCACCAGGAGACACCCAAACAGGCAACTAGAAGCGCAGTGGGGAGGCTGACGAAGCAAAAGCTAACTCAGAGGACGGAGCTCTGAGCAGCTCAGGAGTGTGGGGTGAGGCTGGAGGGGATGCAGAGGGAGGGCCCGCAGGGTACCGGGACCACCAGGGCTGCTTTAAGCGGGAGCGAGGGGAGGGGGAGCCGCTGCAGCCAGCAGGGTGGAGGGCTGTGGGGCAGCCCTGAGAAGCAGCCATGCCTGCTCTGGGGATGATGGGGGACCCTGGGCAGGGGTCCAGGGGGTCCAGAAGCAGGAGCCAGTGCAGGCAGGCCGGTGTCGGGGAGCCTGGCCTGAGACACTGTGCACTGACCCAGCTCCCCTCTACCACCTGCAACCCTGAGATAGTCTGAATTTTCCCCTCTGAAAATCAGGGGCCACAGCAGTGCTGGGCACACAGTAGGTGCTCGAGAAGCAGCAGCTGAATCAAAAAAAAAACAGGCTGGACCTAAAAGGAATATAATATTGTAAGTCATCTATACTTCAACTAAAAAGAAACAAACAAACGAGCAGGCTGGTGATGCCTGCGGGCTGTGGGGAGCTCCCCAACGAGGGCCTGGGAGCGCGTTCAACCAGAGCACAAGGCGTGGGAGGACCCAGGCCACACCCTTTGGGGAGGCCCAGTTTGGGAAGGTGTGGCCAAGAGGCAGGAGGAGACCGGGAGAAGTTCTGGCCCACCCAGGCCTGGACAGGCTGTGGCCGGGGTTAAGCTGGACCCTCTATTTCTGCACTTAGGCCTGCCCCGCACACTTGAGGGACAACACGGACCAAGGGCAGCTGGAGGTCAAGCAAGCGGCCCGGCCCCAGGACCAGACCCACCAAGCCTGGGGCCTACCCTGCCCAGGGGACCACTGGCCACCCATGTCAGTTGGAGCAGTTGGGCCCACCCCAGGACACCTGCCCAGACGTGTGCCCAGCTCACCTGAGCATGGTCCCAGGATGCACCAGCTCCTCTGACCTCCCCACGTGAACCCTGACCTCTGACCCTCAGTGTCCTGTCTGACCCCTAGTCTGATGCCCAGCCCCAGGTCTCCCTTGGGAGGGGGGAATCACCAGCTGTCTGGCAGCCTAGAATTCAGTCCTCCACTACGTGCTACTATGTGGCAAAGCGAAAGTGAGCTGGCTGCTCTGTGCCTCTTGACCTCACCATCAGTAACCGGCATCTTGTCGGGAATGATCCTGGCCAGGCCCTCACCCCTCCCAGAGACCTCTCCACTTTTCTGTGGAAGATATGAGGTTCAGAAGGGAGCAGGGCAGACCTGACACCTGGCCAATGGCTTGCTGGGTGCCCCGTGCTGTCCCCAGGAGGACACATCGGATCCCTGCCCCACCAAGGCGCCCATCACCAGCTGTCACCCCAGATGATAGGAATGCAGGGATCCAACAACAGAACCACAGGAGGCTCTCTGCACAGGAGGCCCTGAAGGTAACTGCCCTGGGAGGGTGGTGCAGGAAAGGGAGCACTGGCCCTGTGGACTGGGCACTGCCCAAAGCCTCAGCAGACTATGACCCAGAGGGTCACTGGCCACCAGAATTAAAGCCTACGACCCGGCTGGGTCTGGCAGGGTGGACGCACCCTGGGGTCGGGGTGCCCCAGGCTCAGAAAGGTCAGAGAACCCGTCCGTGCCACAGTGGGGTAGGGCAGGGGCTCAGCTATAGCTTCTGGATGGGACAATCTAGGGTCTAGCTGGACCTCGGGAGTTAGGTGCAAGCCTGTCTCAAGCTACACAGTGGAAAGACCCACATCCCAGCAACAGGCCTGGACAGAAGGCAGATGAGCAGCCTAGTCACCAGTCAGAGGCCCCACAAGTGCCCCTGACCAACCCCCACCCCCACACGAGCTCCCGGTGCCCACATACCCTCTGGCTTAGCAACCCTTCTCAGAACACGTCAGCTGCTGGATAGTATCTGTAAGGCCGTGGGAGGGGACACCAAGCCCCTGAAGTCGATTATCGGAGCAGAAATGGCTTCAGTCAGCAGAAGCCTGGCACACCTGCCTCAAACCTGAGTCTGGCTAGCCCCACTGACCTGTCACAACCCCTGCAGGAGTCCTCTGTGTCCATCTTACAGATCAGGAAACTGAGGCTCAGAGAGGCCAGTCACCACCTGTGGTCACCAAGCCTCCAGGGGGGTTCAAAGCCTGGGGCCATGTCTGCCCAGGAGCTGGGGAGGTGGCCACAGCCCCCCAGGGGAGGGGCAGACCATCTGGGCTCCTCAGGCTGGGGAAGGCTAACAGGCCCCTCTGGGCCACCACTCCACCCCACCTCCACCCAGAGCATCTCAGTTCAGGGAGGAAGGAGTCACCCTCAAACACACCTAACCCAGAAAACAGGCAGAAGCTAAGGAATCTGATCCTTGGTCTGAAAGTCGATCCTGTCACAGACACCGATGACATGGAGGGACTGGAGCTGGGGAGGTGCGGGCGGGGGGAGCCCCTCACATCTGGGGAGAGGAGCTACAGGAGGTGCCCTGAGCAGCAGCTTGAGTCCAGAGGCCCTGAGGGTGGGCCCAGGAAGGCAGGCGAGGCCTGGGTGACTCCCTCTGAACCAAGGGCTCCCCTAGAATTGGAGCTCCCAAGGGCAGTGGTTCGCCGGCCGGCCCACTAACGCTGGACGGAGGATGCTGTCACTGCAGTGCTCCAGCTCTGGTGCTCTCAGTCAGCTCCCTGTGCAATGGGCAGAGATTGCTTGGAGGGTTTGGGAAGCAGCCTGGGGCCTGGCACATACCATCCAGGGCCACTCAACTCTTATGCCCCACTAGTAGCCCCTGCTTTTCTCAAGGAAAAGAACCCAGAATAACCCCTGGTTGCAGGGGGCTCAGCCTCAGGGACCCCTTGGGCCCCTGCCATCTGCTGGGTGGCCCAGCTTCCTCCCAGCCTCTGGGTGGGGGCTAAGGGGGCTAGGGCTGGCTCCACAGGGGTGGGGAGAACCCAGCATCTGGCTGGGCCAAACCTGAAAAGCCAGTTTCATCCTTGAATCTTCTCTGCCAGGAAGTCCCCAGGTGGGGGTGGGGGGGCCTTTCCCAGCACAGGGCTAGGGCCTCCAGACGCAGACCTCGCCCACCCAGAGAGACACACAGACGCACCACCCCAAACTGCACACACAGAAGAAGGAACTCTGCTCAGGACCATCTGGCTCCCCTGCCCATTCCCCACCCAGCCCCACAGACATGCCCCCAGCAGGGCAGACAGCCAGGCCCTCCCCCAGTGCCCTGAGCACCTGGGGTCCAGCAATCTCCCCAGCCAAGAGCAGGCCTGCTTTGAGGCACCGTGTGGTGGCCACAGGCTCAGCCCTGGCCTGCTCCTCTTGGCCACTGAGCACAGGGTAGGGAAAGTGCCCGGCAGCGTCCAGTGTTTAGAGCCGGGGAGATTGGGTTGTGAAGCGGAAGGTGGGGTCACTCCCTCCTCGCACCGCCCACCGCCCCCCCCTCCAGTTCCACAGCTACTGCTATTATTGCTGAAATTATTCCCATCCCCAGGGAACACGGCTGGGACAGGGATGATCCGGAGAAGTCCCACCCTCTGAGCTGGAGTTTCGACTTGGAGACACCACCCACTGGTGGTGGCCGGGAAGGAAAGCGTAAGGGGGGGAGGGTACAGCTCAGAGGCGCCTGGGGACACCCCCGGACTCCGAGCCCTCCCGCTCCCGGGACCCTCAGCTGTCGGGCGGGGGATGGAGCCGAGATGTCCGGCCGGGTCAGGCCGCCGGGACGCGCTAATCCGGCCACGGGCTATTTTTGCGGCGCGCCGGGTTAGGAATCCGGGGCTGGGCCGCCTCCTCGGGCGGCTCGGGAAACTCCGGGAAGGAAAGTCCGGCCGCCTCGGGCGGAGAGTCGCCCGAAGCCGGGACGCAGCCAGCCTCCGGCCGCTCCGAGCGGCTTCGGCCGCGGAGGGGTGGGGACGGGCCCCGCGCGCGGAGGACGCAGCCCCGGAACCCATCCGGCCCGCGCCCCGCGCCCCCAGCCCCGCGCGCTCACTCACCGCCGCCGCCGGCACCGGGGCCTCGGGGGTCCTGAGGGCTTCGGGGAGGGGCTGCCGCCGCCGGCCCGAGGGCACCCGCGCCGAGTCCCCGCCCGCTCGCCCGGGAATGCCATGGAGCGAGGGGCGTGCGCGCCGGGGGCGGGCCCGGCCGGAGGGGGCGGCCGCGCTGACTCAAGGCTCAGGAATGCGCGCGGCCCGCCCGGCCCGAGTCACCTCCTCCGGGAGGGCGGCGGGGACACCTGCGGCTGGGGGTCGAAAGCGCCTTGGTCGGGGAGGGAGGACCTGGTGGCCCAGCTGGACCGAACCTGATGGTCAGCGTCAGCCGCTCCCAGACTCCGAGTGAGTCCTGACCTTATTCTGCTTTGACTTGTGCTTGAGAAGTGGGCGGGGGGCGCTGTGCGGAGGGGGAGGGGGGAGGCGGCCCTGGATCTACCGTAAACCGAACCGCCAGCCTCCTCCGAAGGCCGCGCTGCCCAGTCTCTCACCCTAAGCCGCACGGGAGCCTCACTCGCACACACATGCCCCTGCGTTCATGCACTTAAACACACACGCTCTGTACGCACTCACACTCATGCTCGCCCACGTGTTCCTTTACCCACACCTGTTTACACAGACTCACATACACACACCTCTGCATATACACACTGTAACACCTCCATGCTCACTCTCACCCATTTACACACGTGCACACAACCACTGATGCACACTCAGTCGCACTCGCACCAAAGGCAGGATCACAGCAGTGACCTCCTCCCGGGGCCCCTGTGCTCCCCACCCGCTGAATCCCTACTCCCCCAACAGGCACTCCCAGGCCAGGCTGGAACCCCTGGAGCAGAGGTGCAGAGGCGGCAGCACCATTTCCGGCGACCACTCTGTGCTCCTCCCTCTTTCAGGGCTCACCCACCAGCCCTGTGGGCCCATCCCTGCACTCCCTGAATCGAACACGAAATGGCCCATCTGCTGTAGGCTGAGGCCGCTGGTGGGAGTTTTCCAACATTCCTCTCCCTCTCTCCTGACATTGCAGGAGTCGGTGGGGCACAATCACCAGAGAAAGACCCGGGAATGGGGGAGGGGGTGCCAATAGCAGGGCAGGGCTGACCAGGAGCTGTGAGTGGTGGAGGGGCACAGACTTCCACCCCGTAGGGAGCAGAACTGGGACCATGGGTGTCCTAAGGACCCTTCTGCTGGGAACCAGAATACTGAGGCACATGAGGCCCAGCCCCTCCAGCTTTGGAGGGTCCACAAGTGTGTCTTCACAGGCCCTTTGCTGGTCTGGGACCAGGAGGCAGTGGTCCTCTCTGAACAGAGGTGCTGCCACGGTCAGGTCAGCAAGCTATGCCCAGGGTATGACCGCAGACAAAGCCCTGGTCCTTGGCTACACAGAAAGTAGACAACTTGAGGTGACAGCCAATTCACCGTTGGCCCAGGAGCCTGGGAAAGGGACAGAATCCTCCAACTGTCTCCTCATCCATCCTCAGGGCAGAGTGGTGCCTGCACACTCCGGGTCATTTACGAACTCAGTATATCAACACAGTTCCTAGGTAGAGGGAGACAATGGAAGCTTTGGAGGGGCTGCAAGAGGACTCCTTCACTGCGGGGTGGGGTGGTGACTACAAGTGCCTTGGGGACACAAGGCAAGAAGAAGGCTGAAGGCTGCCCAGTGCCGATGCTCAGGGCTCTGGCTGCCCACACTGCCACCCCTCCCATGCCAGGCTCTCACCCACAGAAAGGACAGTCTCTCCATGCCTGGCATTCTCGACCCCCGCCACCTGGACGCTCAGCCTGGGCTGGCAGGGCCAGCGGCAGTGGTGTCATCTCTGGAGTCCAGGGCCTGGGCTCACCTCCAAAGCTTGCCGTGGCCAGGCATCCAGTGCCGCCAGGTCTCCTGCAGTGGGTACTGCAGGGTACCCAGGCCCCCTCCATGACCCAGACACTCATTCCCAGCTGCCAGCAGCATAGCCGTAGCTGGCTCACAGCTGAGACAGGTGCCCATCCCCCAGTCCCCCCCACCTCAACCCCCGCCCCACCTGGAGTCACCTTCAGTGAATGAGAGCTGCCTTGCCCCAAGTAACACCCCCTCCCCAGAGAGGGTGGTCTGTGTGTCCAGTCACAGGTAAGTGGCTTCCCCCTGGTTCATTCGTTCAGGTTACCTCCAAAGGACCCTCTCAGCTCCAGTGGGACCCCAGCAGCCTCTGTTGCAAACCCCTGCCCCTCACAGGTGTGGCTCCCAAGTACACCTTGGCAGGCAAACCCAGGAATCCCCAGGTTCTGAGCCCACTGAGCCTCCTGAGCAAGGACCCGGGTATCAGAAGGACAGTATGAGCAGAGGCCTGGACCCAGTCCACAGGGACACGTGTGTGCACACACATGTGCTCTGTCTCACACCTGGCCCACTGCCCTGTGTTCTAGTGGAGGAGGGCCTGACACGGAAACCCCAGAAATCAGCTGCAATTGCCCAGTATGTGTGCAGGTGACTGGGGATGGGCAAGTATCTGGAGCACCCCCTGACTACACTTCACTCTAGGACCTGAGGGGGTGGCAGTCCTGACCACTGAGAGCAATCCCCACCAGCCATCTGGAATCAGCTCAGCAGGCCAGCCTGAGCTTTGGGGGGCCTGAATGGGCCCAGGACCAGCCCCTGGCTATTTGGGGAAGAGGCAGAAGTGGGCCAGACCAGCCAGGGCCTGAAGTCACTGTCTATTTGAGGCAGCTGCCCCTCTCCATGTCTTGGGGCCTGGCAAGGGGGGCCCTTAAGTACCTGGCCTCAGGGCCCGGCAGCACTGGCAGCACAGCCCCAGGAAAGGAAGATGCAGCCCACAGCTGCTCGCTCTGCCCAAGGAGCCTCCGAGCCCCCAGGACCCGTCAGCTGCAGAGGGCCCCAGAGGCCGCCCTACTGAGATGTCACCCCCAGAAGGTGCTGCCCCTTTCATGGTGTTAGCTGTCCCTACATAGAGAGAAGGACAGTGAACAGTGTGCTGGGTAGGAACAGTGCTGGCCTCTGTGGCTGGTGGAGCCGCTGTCCTTTCTCTCAAGGCTCCAGGGTCTGACGGCTCCTCCAGAGGCCATGGCAGGCCTGGCAGGGCACAGAGCAACTCACCCCAGTACTGGCCCCTTTCAAAGCATTGAGGGTGTCCTCACCTTCATCCTCCATGGACATCCTCCAAAAAGCCTCTCCCAGCCCAGAAGCAGGGCACTCTGGGGCTGAGAAGAGAAGGCCCCAGGCCCCTCCTCCCACCGAGACCACCTTCTTACCCCCAGCCTGCCTGCGCTGTAGGCCACAGCGGGAATGCTCAGCCCACCACTTCCAGCCTGTGGTGGAGCCTCAGACCACAAACCAGGAAGTGGGGGGGGGGTGGGGGGAAGGGGGGGCAGAGGTTGTGCAAGGCCCTGCACTCAGGCTGGAACATCTGGAGAAGGGGTTGCTGGCTCCAGCCCTGCCTCCTCCTCCTGGGCTGTCCTCCAAGCCTCTCTTTCCTCATCTTCAAGTTGGGAAAAAGATGTCCCTTTGGGAATGCGTGGACTCCCCATGATTTCTACAAGGACCATGCACTATTTGTGAAATGAAAATGAATACAAAACTGCACCCACCCTGCCCCTGCCCCCGCCAGGGGGAGTGGCCCAACTGTAGCCTCAGTTTCCCTCCCAGAGCAGGGAGGGGGGAAGGGAGGAGGGAAGGGAGGCTGGGCACACAGGAAGGCAGGAGGGGGAGTCATTGTTCGGGCAGAATGGCTGCAGCGGGTAAGGAGGAAAGAAAGGGGTGGGAGTCACATCCAGGCCCGCCTCACAAGCACTCATTGACGACACACCGCCCAGCCCCGGAAGGAAGCGGCACAAAGTGCCGCAGACAGCTGGGTGGCTTCCGGCAGGAGCTGAAAGGCTGTTGCCCCTCCCTCCGCAGGAAGTCCTGGTTGGGGCCCTGGGCGGAGCGGGGAGTACAGCTGGGCCTGGGCCTGGGCTGGAGTTGAGCTCCTGGGCTGGTCCAAGGAGGAGGAGGAGGAGTTGGAGACCAGGGTTCCCCCAGCTGGACTTGCCCTGAGACCAGGTGCCACACTCGCTCATCCCAGGGCCCCAGTCACGTGGCCCGTCCAGCACCCCCGCCACACACACACACACACCATCCTTTGCCCAACTGTTCTCCAAGGCCCCACGGGTACCCCTCACAGGGCCAGGGTGACACAAGTCAGACAGCTCAGGACATGGTCCAGGGCAGGGGCGTTCCCCCTGCTGCCCCAAAGGGCAGTGGCATACCTCACACTGCCCCCAGCCACTGCCCTGCAGGAGGGGTGTTCCTGGGTCCCCACAGCCCTCCTGCTCACCTCAGCCTCTTCAGGAGGCTGGCCATGCTCCAGCAGGCCCACCCCTGGACTTGGGCGGGCTCCCCTCAGCATCCTTCCGTGGTGGGAAAGGTGGGGGCCCCACTGCAGACACAGAATCCCAGGACCCATCCATATTGTGATGGGAGTGGTGGTGCTTCCAGAAAGGCCTGGGTCCACTTCCAGGACAAAGTCTTCCTGGCCCACTCCCCCGCCCTATCTGTCCCCTCCACCCAAATGCTCCGCAGGTATGGAGCAAGTAATGCCCCTCCGCAGTCCCAAGGACCAGGGGCTCCGACACCACCCCCCTCACGCACATTCCACGCGCACCCCACCGAACCGTCTGGGGCACCCCCAAACCACTACACCCCCAGCCGGGGCCCCTCTAGGGCCCAGTCAAGATTCACAGGGACCAAGCCTCTTTCTTGGTGGTCTGACCACCAGCTGGAGGTCACCAGGTGGAGTGAGCGCTGCGGCTGCGGCGGGACCAGGGTGCAAGTGGGGCGGGGGGCATGTCACTGGGAGGGGCGCGGGGCGGAGGGCTTCCCTCCACCCCAGCTGCCTGCTCCCCCTCCTCACACCACAACTGTCCCAGCAGCCCCGGGCCTTTGTCCCGGATGGGAGGTAGGGCGCGGGGCAGAGGCGACAGCGGGGAACTCCGATCGCTAGCCCGGCCCCACCCCCGGGGCGGATCCGCGCCTGCGCCCGCCCCCTACCCCCGCCGGGCTTCCGTCCTTCTCCGCGCAGGCGCCAGCTCCAGCCCCGGATCCGGCGGCGCTTCCGGGTGGGTGGTGGGGTGCTTTCCGCGCCGGGCTGGGCTCCGCGCCGGGCTGGGCTCCGCGCCGGGCTGGGCTCCGCGCCGGCAGGTACAAGTTTCGAGATCCCTGACGGAAC